GTTAATTAATATTATTTAAATATTATCTTAAAACAGATATAAAAAAGTTATATTATATATATATAGTCTTATATTCGTTCATATATTAACGTAAAAATAAAATCCTATCGATAATGTAATTAAAAAATTCGAGCAATAATAAAACATTGCATTTGAATTTTTATAAATTCAAAATACAACATTTTCGAGAGAGATAACGAGCCAACAAAATCCGACACTATAATAATATACAGCATAAAAATTTTCTTGATTCTCTTCTACCTATAATAATCATGCAAAGTATAATAAATAAAAAAAAAAGAAAATCTTCGCTAATAATGTTGTAGGTATATTATTTTTGCCACATTATCGTAATGATACAGAGATCGATCATCATCCTTTCGACGTCTCGAAATAAATTTCGGGGGACTGTCGAAATTTTTTTTTTTATTTATTACTGACATTTCAGCCCTCTACCACGAGTTGATACTTCATTTACATTCGAAAGATCTACCAAAAAGTATTATGTTAATCCTCTTGCGCATCTTCCAATCATGGACTTTTGCCTTAATCTTTAAGAAATAGAAAGAAACCCTGGTTTGGAGGGTTTTGAGGTTCTGAGGGCCTGGGTTGCGCCTAACAATCTATTCTACGTGCCTCGATTTTTGCTTGACAATGAAAAAGAATGCAAACGAAGCGTGAAGTAAGCGTGAACTTGGCGTGAACGATGCGTGACTAAAATGACTATATAAATACATAATACAAATGGTCCCCCCCCCCATGGATGCGGACGGTCCGATTTCTAAATATATACTCTATCATTTAGCGGAATATATAATAAATTCAAGATAAAAATGCATGTGCATTTTGGATGCATTGCCATGTAAATATTATTTCTTGACCAAATAGAAAATATAAAAAGTTGAAATAAATATATATATATATATATATATATATATTTCATGATATTTATATCTATCATAATTATAGATACTCACCTATTATAATTTATATATTTGATTTATTTGTATAAATGAATAAAAAAAAGAAATAAAAAAATGTTAACGCTCGATCTTATTATCTTTTAAATGTCCACAACATTATTTTGAAGATTTTTGATTAATAAATAAAATCATAGAGACGAAAATTCTCACGGAATTTCTTATTTTATTATTTCAAATTTGTCGAATATTATCGCAAAACGTTTGACATTTATTTCGAACGACGAGACAGTGAGATAGGATCGATTTTAAAAACAAATAAAAATAAAATACAAATGCAATTTTATTATCTTTCGGATATGTTTGATCAAGCTTAAGCTTAAAAACTGTAGGTTTTCTCAGTAGCACATTTTGTTGATATGCCTCGAAGCGAAAAGTAACGATCGCTTGGCATATCGAGGCGAGTATACACGCGTGTCCATTTACATTTAGTCGTCATTCACGGTCAAATGAAATCGCTTTGGCTCTCTTTAAGCCAATCCACAAGAGCATTCGTACTCGTACGTCGTGCTGTCCATCTCGGTTAAAATTTATGGTGAATGCGGGCCTTGTAGAAGCAAACGACGCCGGACATTGATCGATGAACGAAAGAACAAAACCGAAGAGATTGCGCGAGGTAAAGACATATATATATATGTATATATGTATATACACTGTTTAAGTATAATACAATGGAAAGCGAAAAATTATTCTAGAAAATATTGGCTTTTCACAATTGCTCATCTTGCTGAAATAAATTAAAACTCGATGATAACTCTTAAAAGAAATTCTTAATCTATACATTTTTCTTCAATATCTTACAATTAGATAATTTTGTAATAATTTAAAAAAAAAAAAAAATAAGAAAAAAGTACTTTTTAATATACACATTTTGTTGATATTATTTATTAATAAATTGTAATATATAATTATATTGTTATTATATATATATATAGCTTGTATATTGTACAAGATAATAATATAATAACAATATTTTTATTCCAATTGGAAAGTATTCTTATCTTAGTAATTTTATCGAGAAAACAATTAAATAGAAACTTATCGTAAAATCGCGTAGGTAGGTTGTTCGCGTTTATGTAACCGTACGAGTTTTGCTTTTATCATTTTTCTTTTTCTTTTTTTCTCTCTTCTTATTCTTCTTCCTCAATTTTTGGGTCCAGCAAGTAGACTAAAAAAAAAGAAAACACGTAACACTCCCGGCCAAATCCGTTTGTCTCGATCACGGTGGGCACGCGACGCTTTATAATACCGTTAGTATCGATCGCATCGGTAATTGGTGGCCTCGAAAATTCTGTAGAAAGTGAAAATCGAGGTAAAAGTGGTAGCCGGAAGCTGGACCTCCAGGCTGCTGTGGGTGTACAAAGTCAAGAAATACGAGCTATAATTATCAAGCTAATTTTGGCAAAGCGATTATGTACGAGAGAGTTACCGATACATCCAGTGGAAAATAGGAAGAGGAATACTGCTCAACTCATATCTTTGTGCTAAATTATTCTCATATTAAAATTAGTACGCCGAAAAATGGTTATGCGTGTAAGGCGTTGGGGCGGGCGGGGTTGGGGAGATAAAAAACTAACATAAAAGAAATTACGAATGATAATTACAAAGTAAATATTATTTCCTCTATTATTCTCATTTTTAAAATGAAACGTTTTTTTATAGGCGTAATGGTAAAAATAAAATTTAACGAAACAACGTTAAAAACGAACGAAATTATAAAAAATTCTAAGATTAGTATGTGTTTATATAAATGTATAATGAGATACTTTGATCGATGGTTATTGCAAGATGCACATACCTTAAAAATATTCGATATATCGTAAATGATTGTTAATTAATTATAAACAATGTATATTGTAATCTAAAATTAATAATTTACCTTTCTATGTACCTTGCTCTTCGAAATCCGTCGTTAGACTGGCACGTTAACCTCTGTGACAATACTTTTATTGAATATTATTTATATGACTTTTTCAACGAACAAATTCTATTTACTGCTCGTATTATGATCGTCCGGCAAGTCATATAAACAACATTTAACAGAAGAACTTTTACAGAGAACATTGACTCAGTTTAACAATGGATTTCGACGAGGACGGTGTATCGAACTTATATTAGGTACTTTTAAACTATAATATACATTTCCTACGATTAATTAACAATCATTTAAAATATATCGAACATTCTAATATACTTTATTAATATTTTTCTATAGTTTAAACTAAAATATTATATTTCTTATCTATTCTCTTGTCGGTTAATATTTAATAATAAAACATATCTACACACCGAATTGCAAAACGGAAAAATAAAATAAATACAAATTAAACAATATATAATCCAATTTAATAAAATTAATTTATGATTCGAAACGTATTCTTATCCATTTTTCTACAAAATATAAAGAAATGAAAATTAACGCGTGAAAATAATAATGATCTGCGTACAATAAAAATCTCTCTCCGCGTTTATATATAACTATTCTTATTAATCATATATAATATTTATATAAATAGACCAAAAACAAGAAAAATGGTAAATACAAACTAGATGATAATAATCTAATCGGATCGTTGATTTATGATCGAATTATATTCGATATTTCTTTTTTTTTTCTATTAACCCTTTTAGTGTGCTATGGACACATATATGCGTTTGATAAAAGTTGATACGCGTGTGGTTTATCAATGTTAATGTAAAATAATGTAATATTTTTATTTTATCTTGTCAGATGAAAATAATATTGTGAGAAAAGAAAAATATAAATATAATTTATTAATATTAGCATATATATCTGTGGTGGTCACATTAATAATAAATTATTTCATTGGTAGAAAACACTTCAGTTAAAAGTATTCAGCACTGAAAGGGTTAATAAAACCCGGAAACAACGGTTAAGATGAATTTTTCTCTGTTTTAATCTTCGACGGGGATCGGTAGAGATCTCTCGGAGAAAATCGGTCAGAATACTCGGCGCGTGCGCCTGAAGGAGGGACGAACGAGACATACGCGTGCCCATCGCAAGGTTCTTCCACTTGCAGGTAATCGGCGCGTGCCCTCGCGCTCACTCGCACGCGCACTTTAAAATGAAACAGGGTTTTACCTTCACTTCGCAAACAGGAGAGAAAGGAAAGGAGAGAATATAAGTGGCCGTAAGAGAGAAGGGAAAGGACGTTAGTAAGTAGGCGCGTACTTTTCGGGGCTATCGCGGCAGCTGTCGCAGACAAGCAGTCTTTCCTTATTAATTAAAGCAACCCACACATACACACACACAAAGAAGACACAGACTTATTGGTAGACTCCTTCCTTCTTTACTCATTAGTTATAACCAAGCTCAGTTCAGAAACAATTCACTTGCCTTTTGCCAGCTCGTATTTCAAGGAAAATGATCTGTCTCAAAAAAAAAGAAAAAAAGAAAAAGAAAAAACGGTCTCACCGTTATAAATGCATTTAATTATAATAAGAACTTATTGGAAAACTTTAACAGAAATTAACATGATTACTCGGGATCATTTCCTAAATATTCACAATCATAAATTGTAGGTAAAGAATTTTGTACACTTCTATTATACTCTAATGATCTGAATTAAATGTATTAAGGTCGTAGTCATTGAATATACCGTACGTTAATTTAGCTGCATAACGGTGGACTTTATTATACTTACATTCAATTTGGACGAAATCTCATTTTCTCTTTGCTCTCTCGAATGAAAATAATACGTGTTAACAAAAATTCGACCTACTCGGATTAAAATTTCTCTTTTCATTTAGTTATCTTACAAAGAGATGAATAGAAGTTTAAATCACGAATAACAATTATAAAGATGAAGGAAATATTAGAAGAGGAAGAGGAATAGCAACACCTGTAAAGGTATACTCGTACACGTTATAAACATATATGATACGTCCAATCCGTAAAAAGAAACTAATAATCAGAAAAGCAAGAATAACAATAGTTGCAAAGATAGAGGAAGTGTTAAAAGAGGAAGAGGAAGAGGAAGAGGAAGAAGAAAAGCAGACTGGAAAAGATATACACCTGTATAGGTAATACTCGTACACGTTATAAACATGTATTAACACGTCTTATGCGTATAAAACTGAGAATCAGAAAACCGGACTCGGCAAGCGGATAAATATTACTCTTTGGTGTTCTTCTCTCAACGCGTAAAGCTGTTATTACTTGCAAGCTGTAGATTCCGGAGGCCTTCGATTCGGTTCACCGAGAAAGTGTCCACCGTCTGTAATATCTATATATATATATATATATATATATATATATGATACGATATGTACCGGATCGTACGTTCGCGCACGTTCCTCTTTCACGGCCTCGACGAGAACGTCGTAATTATCATTGCACCTGTGAAAATCGTTATGCCGTTACGCAGTCCTTCTCCTCTTCTTCTTCTTCTTTTTTTTACTTCTTCTTATTTGAGAGAGAAAGACAGGCGGAAAAGTATTCCAACGCGAAGTCGATCCTTCTTACTGATCCTACCAACTGATCCAACCCTCCAGATAATACTCATCGAAAGACTTGATCGCACTTACGTAAAGTACGTACATGCATGCGTGCTCCTGCTCGTGCTCATGCAAGTGCACGCACCACGATCCAGACAGAAAACAGTCCATCTCTCTACCGATTCTCATCTCTATCCCTCTCTCTCTCTCTCTCTCTCTCTCTTTGTGTGTGAGTGTGTGCGCGCATTGCGCCTTTCGAAAAAGCACAGGTGCATCCGTGATAGATGAGGAAAGTGTTTTATCGATATGAAGTGTTTACCCGCCTAATCATTCCATTTCGTAACTTGTATTTTATCACGCGCAATACTAAATATTTATATATATATATATATGTACTTAGATCATTTTTATTTTTGTACGCTAATTACGTATGCTAACGTTGTGTACAATTGTAAAAGAAAAATATTAAATGTTTCATTTGTTAAACGATTAATCAATTTTTTTTCATTTATCACTCGGCCATTTTTATTTGACTAATAAAAATTATCCAAATCAATTGTTTCATTGATTATCCATCATTTTTTTTCCTTAGGAAATAATTTGCAACTTAACAATACCCCGCGTCCGATTAACTTCTCACTTATATAAAAGAATATTTTATGATTTAATTATACGATTCTCTGGGTTCATATAAAAATGACAATGACGCAATTTGAAACTTGCGTCTTTGAGGAACGTGGTATGTCGAGTATGTAGGTCATTCTTGTCAAGGGAAGATACGGAATCGTTTTTTCACTCCAGTTCGATGGACATACATTTTCGAACTTCTATCTCGATCTCTCCAGGTGCACTCTCTCGATCGTGATCGAAATTCTCCTGTCGTTTAATCGCGCTTTAAAGATACCATACCAATTCGCGAGTTACGTGTTCCCCTTTTGGTATATTTCACCTTACTTCGAACTAACAAAGGTACGATCGTGCTTTCTACTTTATTTTCTTCCTATTTTTTTTCCTTTTAGAACACATCTCCAAACTCTTATCGTGTTAAATATTAAAACTAAACCTCTAGGATGGATTCAAAATCAAAGCTGATTTTCAATTAAAATCGTCAAAGATGTTTTACAAAAATTAAAATGAAAAAATATTGAAGACAATATACACAAAAATATATTAATTAAAATTACCTCTGTAATTGATATTCTTTCTCCGCTTATTTTAAGACCAATCATTTCTAATATTTTTCCAGTGAACTATTCCATAAAAAATAAAATCTGAAAAGAAATTACTAAATTGTAAAAATATGTTAATATTATAATAGAGAGTTAAATAGCTTACCATTGCACAATGCTGAGATTTGACTAGCTTCCGGATGACGTAACATAAAATTGAGTAATATATGTATATGCTTCCACCATAGACTTCAATGAAACACCATTACAAAACCATGGGTGATAAGTATATAATATATAGAAATTTTTATTTAATATAATTATATTATTTAAAACATTGTATAAAAAATGAGCGGCACGTTCAAGTTATGTTCTAAATATGTATATAATATATATTTATATATATATTTAATATCTTTAATACACAATAAAAAATGATATATCTAAAAAATTATAAAATTAAAAATAAAAATAGTTACAAAAACTTTCAATGTATTATGTATATCGTCAAGTATTTAACATATGTATATAAAATATTCATATTTCTAACTCCTTTGGTTCCTACCTCATTTAAAATATATCTCTCATTTTTATATGCATAGATAATTAATCAGTTCTTTCTTCATTTAATTCACTATAACTTTCAGGTAGTGGATATGGTCCTGGATTACTTAAATCACGGGCTTTTTCTTGCACCTCTTTGAAAGATGCTTTAATATTATCTAATGCCGTACCTAATCCACTTTTAATTTGAGTAAATTCTTGCGTTACCAATAAAAGACGACCCAATAGATAATTTAAGTTTTTATCTACTTCTGTCATACGTTTCGTTATTTCGCTTACCTACACATAAAATGAATTATTTTCACATGTATTCCTTAAAATTTATAACTAAATTAAATAATATATTACTTATAGATATAATTACTTTATTTTCCATTCCATCCATAGTAGAAGTTGTACCATTAATATAAACTTCATTCTGTTTGTGTAATTTATCTAAAGCTCTCGCACTTTCCGTCATTTGCTGATACATTACGTTTATTTGCCTCCACACCTTTATTTGAAAAATAATATACGTCAGATTCTCACCTATTTAAAAGACTACTTTATAAAATTATCTTTATATATTCACCTGATTCATTTCTTGTTCCATCTTAGTAGTTAAATTAGCTAAAGCTCCATTTTGATTGTCCATAATATCATTAGAGATACCATCGAATCTTGTATTAATTGTATTATTAATATTTTTACTCTGTGCCTTCACCAAGTCTCCTACTTCCAAAAGAATTTGATGTACTCCATATTCTACTCTTTTTTTCGTATCTAACACATGATCAGCCATGGAAACCATTAGTGATTGACCTTTACTAAGATCATGTAATTCCTTGCTTACATGATTAGAATTATCCGCCATAGCCATTCTAAAATGTTATAAATACAATTAACAATATATTTTACATCTTAGAAAAATATTTGTCAAATACGTATTTATTTATAATAATTATACCTCAACGATTCAACTGTATCTTTTGATTCTTCTTTACTCTTCAATATTTTATCTTTTATATCATTACTTTCTTTAATAATAATATCTTTAATCAAATGTTTGGTTTCTTGTAAAAGCGATTCTGTTTCGTTGTGCAATGTTCGAGTTTCATTAACTCTAAAAATAAAAGTAGACATTAAAACGTCTAATAATTTATTTTTTATTATACAATTATACTAATAAATAAACTTACTGCGGTAGTTCATGAATATCTTCTATAGAATTCTTAACTAATTTTTCGATATGTTTTAATGCTTTATTTTGTTCTTGTACTAGTAAAGAAATAATTGATTGCTCGCTTACATGTTTGTCTGAAGATTTGGATGATTCTTTGATAACTTCTATCGAATTTTTAACATTTTTAAAATTATCATTAATGTCTTCTAACTATTTGAATATATAAACAAAAATGAATGCATTATTAGAATAAACTTTTTAATTATGAATGGTATTTTTTTTATATAACATTTACCTTCATAGCCATTGACTGTACTTTTTCTGATTGATTAGTCATAGTATCTTGTAACTCCATTGATGTTGATTTCATAGTATATTCAAGATCTGTAATGTGTCCCATGATCAACGATTCAGTATTATTTAACTTGGATAAAAGTTCAGGATTTATTTCTTTATTATTTAATGATGTATTGGAATCTTCCTGAGCTTTAGTTATTTTAGTTTCTAAATCCGTTAACCATCCTTCCAATCTAACTTCCAAATCTTCTAAAGCATCCGCTGTTTTCTGCATTTGTATACGTTCTCGCTCATCTCTCTAAACAAAATGAAACATTGCATTTAAAATGATAATATTAATTTTTCTCTGCAATGAAATTATAAACTATTTATTACCTGTGCGATTAATTGTTCAATTCCTCCTAATCTGTCATCCAATTTAGCCAATTTCATTCCATCTATGGCAGATACTCGTTTTGTTAATGCAGAGATAGCTTTTTTTAATTGTTCTCCTAATTGTCTTTCGCGTGCTTCATGTCTTTCTAATTTTTCAGTGTTCTCTCGCATCATATGCACCAAACTTAACATAGCATCTTTTATGTCCTCGTGTCTATAATAATAAAAATGTATTTGATTAAATTATTTTGTTATTAAATTGATTAATAAATTATTATGTATTTCTAATAAATAATTATACTTACGTAATTTCCCTAGCCCTACATAGACTAGTATAGAAAAATGGCAAAAGTAATAGTAGACTAAATAACTTCATTATTTTTTTTAGTATGTATATATATATATATATTTATTGATAAATATCTGAAATAAATATTATTCAATATAAATTAACACATAATGACAATTACATTTATTCAATACAACTGTTTTATCACAAATACTCAATGTATTGATGCTACCATGAATAAAGAACAGTATTTCAACTTTTAGATAATTAATTCAATATTCAAAGCTAATAATAAGATAAGAATATAAGGTCATACATGATGACCTTTCACAAACAAAGAACGTTACTATCATATGTAGCTACTAAGATTATTCTCACAATAATAGATACAGGAAATGTAATTTTACTAAGTAAATTATTATAATATAATAATTTTTTATACTAATAATAACAATTATTTTATACATCTTATTATACATTTTCATTTTATTTTTTACTGATCAAAGATAAAAATAAAATTTCAACGATTTAACATTATTTTTAAAATATTTTTCTTTTTTCATAAGATAATCGCTCAAAAATTATAAAATAAAAAGTACACTATAAAAAGTTAATTATTATTAAAAATTCTTAGCTTGTCTTTTATAACAAAATTAAATATTTAAAAAATTATTACATATTACCAAAAATGATTTATTTGAATTATTAATTGAAGAAAAATAATTTAATGTTTAAATATTCAGATATTCTTTCTTACCTCGATACTATATTCTTAGTACTATACTTCTTTTTTTTTTTTAATAAAACCACTTTAACTTACCACTTTAAATTTCTATCGATGCAATGAGAGAATACATGTATTATATTGATAAATACTCAACGATAAATACTCAACGATAAATACTCAACGATAACTGAGTGTTTAGAAACAATTGAATATAAAGAAATTAATAATCGTAGCGTTCTTTTAACTTATTTTAAGAGGGTGATAAAGCGCCAGATTATCAACGATGTACACTGCAAGATCTGAATATGCAACGCCATCTAGTTAACCATACATATTTTTTGAACTATTCAAGCCACTGACTTTAAAAATCATATATACACACACATATGCCAAATGCATATTATATATATATGTAGAAACTCACACATATCGTAGGTCCGCGTATTTAAATCATTTTTTTTTCGAATAGAAATAGCCTTCAAATAACGAGTCCTTTCTTAAAATAGCTATAATTACCTAGGAAGATTAATTAAGATCAATTTTTATTGAATATCGTGAACTTGAAACAATTTTCTGTATGTATTCTACATTCATACTAAGTTATTCATACCCGTTTCTTTTATAGGTTAACTTTTAACTTCAAAATTATTTTATTTATCATTTTTAAAAAAAGATTACATGTCATTTTTTATCTCGTTAAATAAGTAAAATAAATAATGAAAATATAAAATTTTTTAATCAAATATAAGAAAGAGATAAACATATTTGTCAGATATTTCAGGTTTTCATCAATGAAAACAAAGATATATCCTGTGCGCGGGAACACACACGGTTGGTTTATGGATGTCTAAAAACAAAAAAAAAAAACTATTACAAATTAACACAATTTCTTATTCCCGATTTTCTTCTCATTTACAGTTTTTTCAATAAACACTAATAATAAATTAAAAGTCAAATAATTACGCTTTATGATAAAAGGTTTAAATGGCAATTAGAGAACAATTTACATGAATTCGTATTATCTCTTGTAATTGTCTAAAATTGGTGGCTATTGTTGTCGCTAAAAAACTTTGTATTACGTGTCGACTGCAATTCTGACTTTTAACTTTTTTTTAATACGTCACTAATGATTTTTATTAATATTTAACGTGTATTGGGTGTACAAAAAATATAATAAAATAGCAATAAAAATGTTGCTATATACATTAATTGGAGGTTACGTATTAACATCAATGATATTATTTAAATATCCTACGTTACTTCATAAAAAGAAAAAAATTAAATTTAATTGTCATCATATTAGTCATAGAGGTGGTATGTTCTATTTACTTATTTAATATCATTTTATATTACTATGAGTTAATTAATATGAATATTCCTTTTAAATATTATTCTAACATATTCCAGGAGCTGGAGAAAATTATGAAAATACCATGTCCGCATTTCGACGGTTAGTTTTAATATTATTTTTTCAGGGTTATGTTTATGAATGCAATAAGTTTTTTACGTCATTTTAACAAATGCATGATTTTATATAATCATTGACAATTTTCATTCAACTGTCATCCTTTGATTTATTCCTTTATTAAAAATAATTCATTATTTCTTATTATTAAATATATTAATTAAATAATATATGTAATATTACAGAGCAGTGGCTATTGGTACTGAAATGTTAGAATTAGATTGTCATCTTACCAAAGATGGTAAAGTGGTTGTGTCGCATGATCAAAATCTATTGCGTAGCACTGGTACCAATAAGAACATCTCAGATTTAAATTACAAAGAATTGCCACCGTTGAAAACACGTCTTCCTATAGATTTTGATCCAGGTATTTTGCTTATTCTTCTAAGAATATTAACAGTGTTGAATGAAATTATTTAAAAATAGTAGTTCACAGACATGGAATTTATCGGTTCTGCTAATGAAAATGAAAGACGTTTTCCTTTATTGAGAGAAGTATTCGAGGAATTTCCAACTATTCCTATCAATATCGACATAAAGATAAACAACGATGAACTTATAAAACGTGTATCTGAATTAATTATTGAATTTAAACGAGAAGAATATACAGTTTGGGGTAATTTTAGTGATGAGATTACACGTAAATGTTACAAAATGGTACATCATTGTTTTAACATCTTAATTTAATTAGATTGATAAAATTAGTATCTTTTTGATTAACATTTATTAATACTACGTTGCAGAATCCAAGTGTAAACCTATTATTTTCTATGCGACGTGTTACGATGCTATTATTTCTTCTATACACTGGGTTGTTACCATTTGTATCATTAAAGGAGACACATTTAGAAATATTTTTACCTTCTATTTATTTACGGTAAGTTAATGTTATTTCAAATAAATGTATAATATATGCAATACCTCTAGAAAAATACTTTTATGTTCTTAAGACGCAAGAATAGATCAAACCCAACGATCTTTCCATTAGAAAAACTAGTTGTACGCACTATCAATTTACTGTTAATGAGACCATGCTTATTTACACATTTAAGAGCACGTGGAATACATGTGAGTAAAGTTGATCAAATTATTTTAACTGAATATTACGAAAAAACTACTAATTTAAAAAAAAGAAAAGAAAATATTAAAAAAAAATAAAAACACTATAACAGGTATACTTTTGGGTTTTAAACAAAGATGAAGAATTTAAGAAAGCGTTCGATCTTGGAGCAACAGGAGTAATGACAGATTATCCCACAAAATTAAAGTTATTTTTGGATAATTATGCCTTAGAATAATATTTCCTAATTTCTATAATAGGTTTATGAAATTGATATATCAACAAATATCTACTGATTCGTATTAGTGCATCAATAATGTATGTCTAATTTTCTATAAACAAAAGGAGCAGTATTTTAAATTTTGAATTCTATGCACTAATACTAATTTCAAAAATTTAATTATACCTTGCGCAAATGCAACCTGAACGCACTTTAAACCGCACAGCACATTTTAATGCCAACATAACAATTTATATAAATTTATAGGAGTATTATACAATGCATTTATTTAAAATTAATATTTCTTGCTATTGCGTATAAAATTAATATAATGCATTTTTTAATGTGTGCTGTAATAATATTTAAGAACAATAAGAATAATTACAAATGTACAGTTTTAGAGTACCAAATTATCAAATAGTATATATAATAAGTTGCACACTTTAAGTAATTTATTCTAAATGCTTGGTATACGTCATATAAAAAGTATTTTTTTTATTTAAAATTCTTTAATGTGCATATTTATTTTTAACGATTTCATCTTGTTTAAGTTACGCATAAATATCTAACAGCTAATACATGATCGTATCTTTAATTATACTTAATAGATGCTTCTTTCAATACTATCAGTATTACTACGGTAGATAAAAATTAAACCAAAAAGTGAGTTTATAAGTTGTTTGTCTTTAATAATGATATATAAATTTTAAATTATTGCTACTATTTTAGATACTTTTAAATTTTCTATAAGAGAATTATTTTTTGAGTCACTGTGATCTCTAGTAACATTGCGTTAAACACAGATTATTTTTTATATTATAAATCATTATATCCGAACTCTGTGCTGGTGTATGCCTTAAACAATACGACAAGGGTATTGCCTATAATAATGGAATTTATGAAACCAAATTTTATATGCATAAAAAATATTATAATGTATTTCATCACATTTGCCTATTATTGTTTATAATAGAAAATGTGAACTTTATAAATAATTAAGAAAAAAGATATGTAATATTATACTGTGTACAAAAATTCGTGTATCTTTGTAATTTACTATTTGTAAATAAAATTTATTTCTTATATCGGTATATATTATCATATAATAATAAATTTATTTTTTTCTTTTATTTTATGTACATAAATTATAAGAATTCCAATGGAATCCATTTAAATTTGTACTATTATCTTGAACTGTGGCACTTATGATAGATAAATTCCTGAGGTTCTTTACTATCAAAACTATACTCTCTTAATTCTTGATATTTGAATACCTTGCCTTTACAATAACAACACATCGTAGTTGAGGGATGTGAATTGTTAAAATGTTTTTCTATTTCCTTATGATTTCCAATAAAATCAAGTCTACAAATATCACAGTAAACACGAATTTCACGGAATCTTTCATGAACGGAATCTGTAACCGTTCTAACTCGTTCATTTCTTTTACTATGATCTCCATCTTTTGGTGTTTCAGACATTTTATCCTTTGTAAAAAATATTTCACATCTATAATTCAATATTATGTTACTTAAATCATCAGCAACAATATCTTTTTTCCAATTTATAATTAAAAAATTATAACCTCAAAAAAAGACGAATTTCATTTATTAGAAATATATCGTACGTATCTTTTTTATTATTACACTATTCGTTTTTAATATAAATTTGATTATTTTCATGTTTATCCATGAAAAACAAATTGATTACTAGTTTTATAGTCTTTCGTTCTCGAATAAATATGAATGTACACAGACATACTTAGTAGTGTGACTGAATAAAAGCATGGCATCCAAACAAGATGCAAGATAACTTTCGATTCAGTATCTCTCTTTCTCATTGATGATTCATTCAACTTTTATAAAGTTATCATATATTTAATTAAATAGTTTAGATATACAGTAACCAAGTAAACACTTGAAATTATTTTATATTTCTACTTTTTAGAAAAAGTTATCTTATAATATACAATGTTATTGTATGTCAAATATAGATGTGAAAGTATGGTGATCATTTACGATAAATCAATTAAAATTATTTATATCCTATTTATTAAAAAATTACATGTGTATTTCATTGATAGTAGAAATATCTTTCCAATGAAGAATATATAAATTAATCTTGTTCTTCTTCTATATTTCTGTTTTATATGGGTTTAATCTTAAAGTGTAATCCTATAAGGGAAAACACCAAACACTTTAAGTCTTGTACAAGATAATAGAAACAACGGAGTCCTTCAGGGTCTCGTGATTGATTAACATCTAAAAGTGATCCTGTTTTCGAAGTTGTAAATGATATATGCTCGTCTCCGATAACGATTTCTAATTCTTGACGTCCAACCCGATCAGGTTGTGGCCATAACGAGTCATCTTCTTGCATGATTTCTGAATCTTGAATAATGCGTTTTAATTCTTCCATAACGCATTGATGAACGTAAGCTTCCTTTCGAATCATAGTATCATTCTTATAATTAGAATTATTAGCGTACCGCAATTTTCCATCAGGTCTGAATTCAAACTCGAGAAATTCGTGACCAAATTTTCCTTTGTGGCCGACGTAATATCGTATATAAAAATCTGTTGACATAATGGCTATTATTTATTTATATTTTCTATTTTGGTTTTAATTCATTCGCCTTAGACGTGTACTTTGTTTCACTATTCGGTAAAAACAAACGATTCGTATACAAAAACGTATTACTGTATAATGGGCAATATAGCGGTACTAACTACCTGCCATGACAGTAACATGGTTGATACACATCATAACAAGTATCAACCAATTACGATTGTTCGATATATTGTTGATCCGATAAAATTCGTGGATACATTTCTGCTTTTCCTATTGGTTGATTCAATGAAATAAAATTTATGAAGTAAGAATTGCATCCCATGCACATGCTTTTTTACTTCAAATTTCGTTCGAATTGCAACAATAAGAAAGATGAATACCCTAGAATAAACTAAATAGTCATATGAAATTTTAACCAAAAAAAAAAAATTTAGGTGTAACTTAATATTATCATGTTAGATGGATTAAAAATTTGCCAATAAAAAAGAAGAGAACAGATTTAGATAATTTTTGTGTCTTCTTCTTATAAATTGTACATTCACTATCGAGAATGAGATAAATATCGAGCTCACCAAATCGTGCGCGCAACTCACTGGTCTACAGTGATATTGTCGTATTTCATTTTATTCTTGCATTGACTTGCTTCTTGGCCTTCTTGCCAAACCATTGCCACGGTAGTTCTATTAATGGTGGTTTCTCAATTATCAATATATTTACAATAGTTTTTCAATAGAAAAACTACTAATAGAACATGGCTGTGGCTACTAGGACACTTTCTAAATTTGCAAGTAAGATTAGTTATTTCGATTTAACAATTTTTATTTAAAGATTTTAGCAAGTAAAGTTAACTTAAGGATAACCATAGCAACTTTTTGACGTATCGCATTAAATGATTTAATACATGCATTTCTGTGTCCTTGTATTTTTTATTTCTTTTTTAATATTTTTCCTTATGTCATAAATGACTGTTATTTCGAACTAAAAATAATTCTGATTTATGTATTCACGTATATATTTACTAATATATTACATAAGACAATGCATAATAGAATTTATTTCCCATTGATAATATTATTTTAATTCGTTTAATGTTATAAATGTCCAATTTTATACGTCCTTATCATTGTAATTATATCAAGTATTACTTATAATTAGGCTAAAAGAAAAATTCTATTTAAGATAACCCTGAATTTACTTTATCTTTTTATAACTGTCAATGATTTTCATCGAGTTTAATTTAAATTAAATAATAATTAGATTTGCAATTTATTAAATTTATCTTATTGCATTAAAATAGATCTTGTTTTCTGTTATTTTCTTACTTTTTAATAGATAAATTGTCAAAGTACCTTTGAACCTTGACCTAAAAGTCTCAATTTTATTATTGTGACTAAGAATAACATTGACTTAAAAATGTTTTTTCTTAAGAGCATGTAATTACAGTAATTCATTTTTATAAAATAATTTTTTGTTTAAAGTAACTTTTAAAAAATAAACTTTTTTAAGAAAGATACAAATTTGTTAAAAAAAAAATTTTTTTTTTAATGCTTACAAATAAAAATATTTGATATATTTAATATTCCTAATATTTATGTTTGTCTTATCAATTTTCTAACATGTATATTACTATTTTAGTTGGAAGTTGTAAAAGAATATTACATTCTCAAATAAGATTCAATTACACGGAAACTAGGCAGAATTTAAAAATTGATTCGAATACTAAAGTAATATGTCAAGGATTTACTGGCAAACAAGGTACATTTCATTGCCAGCAAGCTTTGGATTATGGTACAAAAATAGTAGGTGGTGTTAATCCAAAAAAAGCAGGAACAAATCATCTTGGAAAGCCTGTATTCAAATGTGTGAAAGAAGTTAGTATTATACTTTTATTTCATTTTATATTTTATATAAGGCTCAGTTAAATTCTCTAAAAAAAATAAAACTTACTTCTGAAAAATTTAATAATTATGATTTTTTCATTATTTGTTTAATATATATTTTATATATGTTTTATATAAATTAGGCGAAAGATGCAACAGGAGCTACAGCATCTGTAATTTATGTTCCACCACCGGGTGCTGCTGCAGCCATTATGGAAGCAATGGATGCAGAAATGCCCCTAATTGTTTGTATTACGGAAGGTATTCCCCAACATGACATGGTTAAAGTAAAACGACGATTACTTGAACAAAATAAATCAAGATTAATTGGACCTAATTGTCCTGGTATCATAGCTCCCGAACAAGTATTACAATTTTTAATAATTATTGACAAAATAATGAATAATTACGAATTTTTGTAAGAATGATAAACATTTGTTTTAGTGTAAAATTGGAATTATGCCAGGACATATACATCAAAAAGGAAAAATTGGTATTGTTTCTAGATCAGGAACATTAACGTATGAAGCCGTAAATCAGACAACTATTGTAAGTTAGTAATTAATTATTATAAATCTTATTAATATGTAAAAACATAGAAAGAAAATAAATGTAATAGAAGTTTTTTTTTTAAGACTGGTCTTGGACAAACCTTATGTGTTGGAATTGGTGGAGATCCATTTAATGGTACAGATTTTATAGATTGTTTGGAGGTCTTCCTTAAAGATCCAAATTGTGAAGGAATTATCATGATTGGTGAAATTGGTGGAAGTGCAGAAGAACTAGCAGCGGAATACCTTATTGAAAATAATACTGTTGGTTGCTGTAAAACATTATTGGTACCCAAATCCTGATCCACACCCTTGTTCAGTACAATTTCCTACTTTACAAGATATATGTTACCTATATTAACTCCAATTTGTTTTATAATTTAATATTCCTCTCCCTAGCTTTCCTCGTTAAAGCCTTCTGTTTATCCATTCATACTTCGTCCTCGTCCTCTCTTATTTTCTCTTTCTCTCATTCTAATATTTTCCTATTTTTCCTATGCATATAAATATAATTCTCTTTAGCTATCTTATAAACAAATTAGATATTATTTTCATTATAAATTCCAGGGTTCTAAAGCCAAACCAGTAGTTTCGTTTATTGCTGGTCTTACTGCTCCTCCAGGTAGACGAATGGGCCACGCAGGTGCTATTATTTCAGGAGGAAAAGGAGGTGCACAAGATAAAATCAATGCCCTTGAAAAAGTGAGTAAATTTTATATTCAAATTAAGAAAAAGAATTTTGTGAATAATTATTTTTGTTTAATGAAATATTTAATTTTCAGGCTGGTGTAATAGTAACAAGGAGTCCTGCACAAATGGGCAATGAACTATTAAAAGAAATGACCCGTCTTGGTCTGGTCTGTAATTAAAATATATTTCCTTGGCTCAATGTAGTTCATTTCTGCATATTCGTGTATCTTTATGAAATAAATTAAAAATGTAATAGCTGTTGTAATTGAGAAACACAACGGTTTTAAAGATCTAAATATAAAACAAAAGTTGCTTATCCTAAAGCCGATAACGCATTGTTTCATGAAAATTCGATGATATTTATCTAACATATTATGTGTAAAATAATGGTAAAGTAAAAATTATAGCTAATATTTGTTAACGATTTAAGTTGAATTAAATACCATAGTGCTTTATCAAGAGTCATTATAAATTGACAACTTTAGTGTTTAAGTAACTAATCAGAAATTAATTCAATGATATATCGATTTAACAAAATTTTAAAAAGAATTGACTGCCACATTTTTTATCATTTATTCTTACATGAAATAAGAAAGTTGTCTTTATATCTAAATAAACATTTTAAGCCACGCTTGTTAAGTATATTATTTTTTTATATTGTTATTAAATATAGAGTTTATCTATTCTATATTATCTATATGTACTTCAACATAAATATATAATATATGGTTCTCACATTCTCACTGTACCTAAACTACTATTTCCTTGCATTTTTATATAGCTATGCAATCATTTTTAATAGATATATATATTCTCCTGTTGATATTAATTTATTATACTAATATAATTTACTAAAAAAAGAGTTTAAATTATTTATTAACATAATTTATCATTTCAATATGTTTTATAAATAAAAACATACTTTATTTTATCTAAAACCCATGATACGATCTAAATGGTTAACAATATTTTTACTTCCATCGGATATAAATGGTTTTAACTTACTTAACTCCATTGTTTGAATAGTATTTAACAAAGTATCGCAAGTGCAATAAAACAAATGCTTATCTTCATACAATTGTTGAGCTAATTCTAATTGATGATTATCCATGAGTAACTGATTAGTAACTACAATTAGATGTTTTTTAGCTTCTAAGGCTTCTAAAATACTCCCTGCTCCAGCATGACTTATTACTAAGTCAGCTGCCTGTATATAATTCTCGATAGATGAACTTAATTGGAAATATTCAATATGTTTGATACCATATCGAGGTGAACAATCAGGTTTTAAAGAACTTTTACCTATCTGTAAAGATAAATAATTGTAACCTCTTAAATTTAATGCCTAAAATGAAACAAACATTGACAATATTTTAATATTTCCTTATAATATAATTAAGGATATATAAAAAAAAACAATGTATACCTCAAGCACTACAGGAGTTAATATTGTTGAAATCAAATTATCAAAACTTGTAGTACCAACTGTTACAAAAACTTTTCTTTCTGACATTTCTTTCCTAGCAATTATAACTTTAATAGTTATTAAATTGTTAATAAAGCATTGTTCTTTTTAATAATAAATTTTCTATATAAAAAACTTGATATTAATATCGAATATTTCGAAAATAAAATTCCTTCTGCTTTTTTTCTATAACCTTTATCTCTTGGTTATGACCGTCATGTTGACTCATCTGCGCAGTCTTAAACTATCCCCACCATTTCTTCTCTGAATTGTTTTTTAATCGCGTTGCACTTTGAATTTTACGATGATTAATACAAACAAATTCTTTTTAGATATTTCACAAAGATGATGTTATATTTTTAGATTTACGAATAAATTTACGTATGGTTTTATTTAATGATTAAAATCTATGAAAAATAATTCCTTTAGAGTTGCGAATAATTTAAAAATAGCAATTGCATTCTATAAGAAATGCATATGTAATGATTTCTATTTTATTTCTCAACCGTTTAACAATTCTATTTGCATGAAAATGATAATTAAGAAAAAGAAACAAACAAATTAAATTTAGAGGTTCGATATTTATTATAATTTTTATTCACTCGCACTAAAATTCTTTTTAATATAAAAAAATTCCTTTGCTTTTACGTTGAATTTTATCCAAGCACAAAAATAATAGAGAGTTTCCCTGATTTTATGAAATTTTATATAATAAATAACACAGTAGCATTTTTAGTCACTATAAAAAATTAAGTTTATATTGTATTAATCGACGTAAATTTATGTCGAATTAATTTAAATAATTTTTTTGTCGATGTCGTAATTATAGTTTTATTGATGAATTTATACAGAATTAAAGGAAAAATAAGGGAATTTAATGAAAATTAAATAAAGTTTAATTTTTATATTAATTATTCGAAATATATATGTACGCGGATATATTAAATTTAGAAAAAAAATAAGCAAAATAACATTCTATATAAATCAGGAAAATCTAAATAATTCTAAAATTATCGACTGGAAAATAAAATGAGATAATAACACCTTCTGTGACTTTATTATTGTTTTATCGTATCATGCAAAAGTGTTCGAAATTAATTTTCTCGAATTTTCATTTGGTATTTTTATCAACAATCACGTCTACTATAAGAATGGTTGAGGTTGATTTATATACAATCTTTAAATCGTAATTAATATAGATGTAATAGTAAAGCCATGTACAAATTGTAAAGATCACTTCCAAACCTCGCAACAGAGTATAAATTACTGAAACGAAAATAGATATTATTATTGTTGTTGTTGTTGTTAATAATTCGATACCGGGGTAAGTGGGCTCGTAATCGGCAGTAATTAAGATTTTTTTCTTTCATTTCTTTTCTGATGAAGCTAATCAACAACACAGCAGGAAGTGTATGTATGTACATAAAGTACAAACGTAGTAAAAGTGTGTGTACGTATGTTTATGTGTGGGTGTATACCATTTACCATTGCTAAAAATTGTTTAGCCCACTGTGCGATCGGACCCTTTTCTCAAAAAGCGCATTTCAATAATGATACAGCTAATCGTTTAAGAAAAAACAAGATGAACACAGTTTCACAGTCACTCACTGAATTAATGGCTAAGGTTCTTTTTTTTGTATTTATAGCGTACCAAAGGCCGTTAATTCGATTGGTTCACAGACTTCTTATTAAATTTTTGTTGTTCCTTTTTTTCCGTTTTTTTTTGTTATGTTTCTTTAATAAATTCCTTATAGATTAGGCTTCACTAGACGTGCCCGATGCTACGATTACAATTACTTCGAATGCCCTGATATACGTAATTAAAAAGCATAAAAAGAAAACGCGGAAAGTGTATTGCATTTGATAAAATAATTTTATTCTCTACTTGTCTGTCTACCCATCTATTCGTCCGTTTGTCTCTCCTTCTCTTTATTTTAATGTCAACTTAGATTGTATCATAAAGAAACTTGTAACGAAGAATCACGTATAAAATCAAATAGAAGAAAATAAATGTACAAGTTGATAAATTTTTAAAATAATTGAAAAAATAAGCTAAATCATTTTTTAATCAAAATTGAGCATTACGCGTGACAGGTTAGTAGTCTTTCCTCGTATACGATCCTTATAAATCTGTTACTGTATTTTGCATGAATGATTCATATTAACATATGATACAGTGTGATTACAGTGTGATCTCTAAAGCATTGTTCATGATCGTGATTAAACACAAAGGATGTTTTCGAAATACATAAATATAATATAGTCGCTGTTACAATCCGTTATGTTAGTGTCGTATTATACTAATATAGCAATAATATTATAATAATAATACATTTAGTCTAACTGGTACCTTAAAGACGAAAATGATCTGCTCGCCCTACTTTACTTATGTTTGTTTGTTGGCTTTTTTACTTTCCTTTTTTCTTTTTTTTTAATATTTACTTTTTTGTTTGTTTGTTAAGAAATATTGATTGATGGTTCGATTCAAATAGCGACGTAACATTTGGAATCTGTAACGCTTTCTCTTCTCTTAAGATTCTTACAGTGCTCTAAAAAGTTTTACAACTTTGCATTGCATATTATGTAAGTTTCTTCAGTATTATATTTTTTTTTGGTTTTTTGCATTTTTTTTTATTTTGTTTTCGTTTAATATTAATATTATTATTATTATTATTATTATTATTATTATTATTATTATTATTTTTAATATTTCTTATTAATTTTTTTCCCCCAATTTCATTCGTTCTGTTTTATCACCGACATGAAGAGCAAATACGTATAAAAAAAAGTAGAATGTATACATATAATAGTAATATGATACTAATATTAACAGTAATGGCCACTACAATGAAACAGTTACGTTATTTTCGTTTTTTCTTTTTTGAATGTAAATAGTTGACATGACAATCTTTCACTCGCTCAAACTTGAAGCATATTTTCATTATAGTTTAAAGAAGTCCTGTACCATGAAAGATTTGTTATTCAGTGGCTTTAATGTGAACATGTTTGTAGATTTGATTATTATGTAAAAGAATTAAAGGTAAAAGATGTTATTATATTATGGTCTTCACTGGGGGCCTCCAGTATTACAACTAGCTTTATTGCAGCTAGCTTTGCAATTCCATAATTTCACCCACTTTTTGGGCCCATCTGACATTACATTTTAAAGAAGCCTACATCTTCCCTTCTTCTTCTTCTTAACCTGAAAAAAATATATCATATTAGTTATATAATATGAAAAGATATATTACATATATTTGAAATAATGTAAAGATAAGTTATTAAAAATAAATAGAATAAAACACCTAAGAAAAATAACATTGTAGCAATTAATAGTAAATAAATTAAACAAGTTTCTATACTGTAAGAAGATGTCTAACATTCCTATAAATGCTTGTGTAGAAAATAATATTAAAATAGGCTCACTTGAAGCGCAGCTCGAGTTGCTGTCTCGAAAACTTCCCTGACTCCTTCCTTGCTCTTGGCAGAACATTCAAGGTATGCAAAGGCATTGATTTTTTCAGCCATGGATCTTCCTTCTTCTGGCTTAACTGGTTCTTGCTTCATTTTTCCAAGCTCTTTAATGGTGTTGGGATCATTGCGCAAGTCTTTTTTATTTCCCACAAGAATAATGGGCACATTTGGGCAGAAATGTTTCACCTCTGGTGTCCATTTCTCAGGAATGTTTTCCAGGGAATCAGGACTATCAATGGAGAAACACATCAAGATAACATCTGTGTCTGGATATGATAACGGACGTAATCTATCATAATCTTCTTGCCCAGCTGTGTCCCAAAGAGCCAGTTCAACCTGTACACATACAGATATACATATATTGTAATTAAATATTACAGTTTCATAAATTAGAAGAGTTATTGCGCGATAATATTATAATAATGAAATATAATAAATGATTTGAATTATGTTAAGACAACATACCTGCTTACCATCCACTTCGATATCAGCAACATAATTCTCAAAGACAGTAGGTACATATACTTCGGGGAACTGATCTTTGCTGAATACTATGAGTAAACATGTTTTACCACAAGCACCATCCCCCACGATAACTAACTTCTTCCTAATGGCTGCCATGAATCCTACAATTAAGATACACGTTCATTTGAAAAATAGTGTTATGAAAATATTAAGACTTTTAAGGACTACTTTATATTTTTGTACAAAAACAGTGTCGAAATTTGTAAATTTGCGTAACAGTTTGAATTATGCAAAAAGCAAGATAGAATAAATCGTTATAAGTTAGTAACAATCTTGCAAAATGTTTGTCCATTCATATACGTGATTAAATATAATATAGGCACAGACTTTTGTTTCAAATTTTCAATAAAGATGATTGTTTTATTCTTAAAAAAGAATAGTTTGAAAATGTATAGCTGATTTATTTTATAATTACATAATTTGTAAGAGATTTAATGTAATAAAAAATTTCAAAGTTTGCGCCTTCGTATAAAATAAAAAGCTCCTCAATTAAAAAATTATATAATTATTTCATATTATTTCTGTCTTATTACTGATAATATATAATACAACAATATATGTGTGTGTGTACAAAGCTTGATGAATATAATAATAATAATAATAATAATAATAATTTATGATGTTTTATGCAGAATAGACTATTTTTTTCTAAAATTTTAAAGATATATTTCTAGTTATAATATTATATAAGCTATTTGATTTTTTAATTATAGTAAGTATAAAAAACATTCTACATAAAACTATTTAGTTTTAATTTTACTGTATTGACATAAATATATATATGAAATTAATTTATACAAATATATATATATATTTACATATATTTCTAAACTAGGCATACGCACATTTAAAGCAACAATGTGCAAAAAACTTAGAGCGGTGTTCCACAATTTATTAGTTATAAAAAATCCTATGCTTAATCGATAACTTACCTATATGCTACTGATTTGTAATTCTTTATATTACATTTCATAATAATGTAGTACAATAATGCACTACATATAAGTTCCAATATTTATACATACGTTACAATTGTATTGAAATTGACTAGTATGCATACGATGTATATATATATAACTTGTTATTCGGCAACTATAGTTTTAAATTATATATAGATTTTCTTATATATATTCATTTAATAACCTTTTAAGAAATTTTTACACTTGTACATAAAAATTTCGGATGATTTAGTGTTTTTATATGGATACGTAAATCTATAAAATCAACAAACAGATTGCTGACTATTGCAAATATGCATCAATACACATAAATCCTTCTTAATTGGTTTAACGAATCAATTGTTGACATATGCATACATACACATCTCAAAATGTCCAATATTTTATATAATTATAAAGATTGATAAATATCATCATCATGTAAATTCTATAATTGTTCTTTGATAAAATAAATAACAGAAGTTTCTTTTCAAGCGGAAAAAAAGAAAATATCAAATTTGCAATCTATTGTAAACAAAAATATATATAATAAAAGCAGAAATATATCTACCAACATGCAGCATAAATATGTAACGTACACAACATAGATCAATATAAAACAATGCAAAAATTATAGAAACGTAAGAATCGCTAAAGAAATGGGAAATAATTGTTATATTAATATTTAATTATATTTTTTGTCTATGATAATTAAAAAAAAAGAAAACAAAAGAATGTAAGCAATTACTAAAAACATATATATATATATATATATATATAGGTCAGCATTTGCAATAATATTACAAAGTAAACAAAAATAAAATAAAATAAAAATGGACAAGATTAAAAAAGCAATTTCGAGGATAGAGTTAGGAAAAGTCAGGGTAAACTTTTGAACTTGCGTAACTTGACATTACTGATCTCTTTTGAAACTGTTGTAATAAACAGTGACTAGAGTTCAAACCTCGTAGTTTGAATTCACTATCTATTTATAATTAAATTGCATATATTAAATGAATTACAAAACTATCCTGATTGTCTAGTGTGTAATACTATCATTGGACCTTTTCGATACTTTGCATTAAAAAGATATTTGACTAATAATCATTTCTAACTTTGCTTACTGCAAGCTACTTACATAATGGTTGTAGTAAAGATTCCCTAGATTTCATATTTAATCTCATATCTACTTGAATGCTATTCGAAAAGCAACCTACGAGGGTTGAAGCTTTAGAGGATATTGACTGGGTCGTACCTGATCCAGGGTACCCCGTATCGTCTGGACCGAGGCATCGGCCCGCATTGCATCCCATGTTTTTAGTCTTTCTTTCAGCGTCTCTGTTTTAAGTGGACATTTTATATGTTAGAATGAGTAGGAAGCTGTGAGACTAACTCAAATTCCACACAACAAAAATTGTCTGTGTATACTTCTGTGTAAATAATATGTGTTCTACTTTTCTTTTTGTTTGAATAGTATATTTATATTTGCTTCAAAATAATAATAATAATAAAAATTATGTGTAAATATTATTATCAGGAAATGCACTGCCCGATATTTAAATCGTGCAATCAACATTCTTAACTCTTTCCTTCTAATGTCATATATATATATATATATATATATATATATATANATATATAATTTATTGACCATTTTATCTCTCGAATATTATATATATAAATTTAGTATATATAGATTTAAGATATATTTATATAAATTAATTTCATAGGATTATCTCTCAAAAGAAACCAATTAAAAATAGTTGATAATTGTATAGTAAATTTTGTTACATATAACAGATTATATAATCACATAAGGTAGAGTCTTTATTAAAATCAATGCATGATTTAGCAATATGATCATTTTGAGTTAAACGATTGAATTTATTAAATTTCTAACTATCGCTTAATTCCTAGAATATGATATGTATGTGTATAAGATGTGTATAAAAAGACAATACCTTATGATTTAAATAATATGACATTCTTATAGATTACATGCATATAAATAAAAGATATTGTTCGTTAAACATGCATTAGGACAGAACATACTCATTGGAAAAAACAATTTGAAAAGCGTACCTAAGTTAAAGAAGACTTTCATACTGCATATATTATATGGTACAAACTTATTAAACGTTACAATATCAATCATATACATTATGAATGATCCTAACGATACGATTTATAAATATAAATATAATACTCAAGTTTAAAAATAATACTTTTTTATAATATGTAAATTTTTTCAACAGATATTTGGATAATGAGACACATTTGCTTTATATACATATGCATTGTATAAAGTTAATTATAATACTTAAAATAAATCTACAGGAATTATTTATTACTTCTTATTGGACATTACTATATCTGCAAATACGTAGAATGCCTTATCGTTGTTTTTCTTTTTTACAAGATTACTTATAAAAAAAATAAAAAATAAAATAAAGAACATTAATAATTCATAAATTTTATAGCATATAATTTTAAAGAATACAATAAAGTGCACTTATAATATATTTTACCAAAGCTAAACGAAATAATAAAAAAAGTATTTAATACGTGACTGCATGAGAAGAATCTTAATTGACCTTGTCTTTTGAGTACACAAGATAAGTATATTATATGTATGTATATATGTATATGAATTTAAAAAATCTATTTTTATTTTTTTTCATACATCATATAAAAAATGTATGCAGGAAACACCTTGCATAATAAATAAGTATCTTAATTATAATGTTAAAATGTTATACGTCAATATGAAATATAAACTTGTAGATTTTTATGCATTCTTATAATAAATAATGATTTTTATAATTAATTTAGTTAAAGCTTATAGTGTGATGCAATAGCCATATCATTAAATAAAAATAAATACTATCCGATGACTTTTGTGGATCATCAAAAGATCAGGCTACCAATAAGGTATTCGTATTTGTATTAGACGATTAAGAGATATATTACTTGACGGAAGGAAATCTGACTTGATTTGTGCAATATATATAAATATTTATATATCTATAAATTTTTATATATATATAAAAAACACATATTATATTTAAAACATTAGAAGTTATGCAAAACTGCACAATACAGATACCTTGGAAGAAAAATTTAAATGATCATATCAAACAATATTACTTTATGTTCATTATCGTATAAGCAGAGGAATATGAGTCAATAACTAATTTCAATACCGAACAAGGTAGAAGAACATTATATATTACTTGCAAAAACCTTTAAAAAAATATAAAAAATATAAAACAAGAAAAATTAAATAACGATGAAAATTGAACGTATGCAATGGAATGAATTCGTGGAAATAACGTTTCTAGATATGATTAGTCAGTATAATTGAAAAAAAAAAGCGCAGGGGGGTTTTCCACGGTACGGTTCGAGATCACGACGTAATATTTCAAATGTACGTCAAAGTATATACCGACCTTTTTATTATAGCGAAATGCTGCCTTTGACTTGAGTAACAAAACGAATTAGCAAAAAGTTATTATTAAATTAGATAAAGGTAAAAAGTCAATTGTAATCTTTGACGAGTAGCAGCTAATCGTAGTAGAGATATGATTATAGGAAAAAAATCTTAGTCCACTCATCGAATGGAAGATGTGCATCGCTGCTCGGTGAGAGTTAGGACGAAAGATAGAGGGGAAGAGTGAAGGGGAAGCCGGACGTGAGGGCGCTGCGTGTGTGTGAGAGTGCGAGGAAAAGCGAGGTGGGTCGGAATGGAATGGGAATGGAATAGAGTAGAGTCGAGTAGAGTGGTGGAATGGTGGACTGATGGAGTGGGGTAGGGTGGGGCATGGTACGACAGGGCAGGCAGGATAAGATAGCGATGCAGGGGTCTTTGAAGGCCCCGAGGTTAGGAAAGAGAATTCATTGAATGAAAAATTCACTAATAATCATCTATCAGTTGAAAAGAGAAATCTTTTTTCTTTGGTATAACCAAAGAATGTCAGTTCGAAAATGTGACGTGACGTGACGTGCATGACGTGACGTGCGCTTGAAAACTGCTGCTGATCGTATTTATAAAGTTAACCAATAAAAATTTAAAGAAAATAAAATAAAGGAAATTTGCTTTTATTATCGAGCTTAGACTCGCCGTCATGAAATTAATTCGTAACGCATGGCACTCCCTCAGACTTCTCTTTCTTTCTTTCTTTCTCTCGCTCTTTTTTCTTTCTTTCTTTCTTTCTTTCTCTCTCACTCTCTCTCTCTCTCTCTCTCTCTTTTTCTCCCTAGGCATCCGTAGGTGAAGTTTTTTTCTCTTTCTCTCATCTCATTTTAAAAGCACAGACTTATAACCCCGAACTCATATTAATTCATGGACAACACGGTGCGAGGACGCGAGCACAATAACACAACAAACACACTCTCGCATTACTACGATCGAGACACATTATTAAAGATAAATAATTACGCATTTACCTGAAATCTTAAGCGACAGAAAGTCAAGAAAATGGCTGCCCTCACTGGCCACACCTCAATCTGTGAGTAGCGCGGCGATCGACACGATGGAGGGGAGAAAGGAACCAGGAACGAATGTCTATCCTTGGGTGCCCACTACTTCCTGTATCAGACGTCTGTTGATTTTCTCTTTCTCTCTTTCTTTCTTTCTCTTTTGTTACGTGACAAGCTCCTATCACTCGTCCTGCATCCGTTTCTAATAATAATTATAATTATTATACGATTATTATTTTACAATTTCACCTATAATTAATAAAAATTAAAATTAAGTGTGTCAACTCATTTACATGCACGCAATTTTTATACTTTCATAAAAACTTTTTAATAAATTCTAAAATAATTTCTCTAACCAAGTTCTCATTTTTCTTTATTAATATGTATATATACTATTATTATGCATATTTGTTATAATACTTTTTAGGTTATACATATATTTATAAAAGTAATATCTTCATTCTCAAATATCAATGCCACAGAATATTGATTTTTAATCATTCATTGCTTTTTTATCAAAAATTACAACCAATCATCCATGCAAATTCAAATCTTTTAATCTTAAACACGATTAAATGGTTAAAATAATTTATTAAATTGTACTTGCTACTGTTTTTTAAGAAGTTTTACAATGCCTCAAAAATATCTGTAACAATCCCAAGTCGTCATAATAGGTTAACTGTAATAGAAAATATTACAAGATGCTAAATTATCTGTAATAGTAATCGCAAATTTGATTAGTATATATTATTCTAACCTTTAATCCAACCTTTGATCAACCAAATAAAATGAAATTCTTACATTAAAGAAAAACTAAATACTTACAATTCACATGAATGATACCAAGTTCTTCAATTATTTCACTTGAACAGAACACTAAATAATAAGGCGATCGAAACTATTAAAACAAAAAAAGAAAAAAAAACTTTAGATGAATATCTTGTATGATAAAATTGAACACGATGACACGAGAAACACTGATTCTAAATTTATTAAGACACTTCACTTCGTATAACGAATTACTTTATAACCATAAAAAAAGTATAAATTAAAATGTAAACACGACTGAAATTTATATTAGGTATAAAATATATTAATAAGGTATGTAATGTTTAAACAATTATAGCATTGCTTAAATTGTAATAAATCATATTAAAATAACATATATAAACTATATATATTGTTTAAATAAATGAAAAATAATCGAAAGTATATATTATTTTGTCGTAACAGCACGGAATGAACGTACCGGCGATGTTTACTCCTCGAAATACGAAAGAAGACTGACGATATTGTCAAAGTCGTTCGAGTGTTCGTTTATGTTTACATCGTTGATGTCGGGCATTCACTATGATTTTAAAATGTTCTTTTTACGAAATAAAGCATTAATATTATTTTATATTCAAGGAGTTGATTAATAGCTATATAATGTTTAAATAAATATAATAACGTGTAAACATTAATTTTGTATGCGCAATACATGCATAAGTATATATTACACATTGTTAAAATAAATATAAAATAATTTAAGATATTAATTGTGTGTGTGTTAATTACATTATTTATTTAAAACGTTTAATACAATTTTTTAGATTGTCTTATGCTTATCACAAGAATTAATAATAATTATTTTTAAATTATATTGAAAGATTTCTCACCTGTTTCGTGACGTAATTCCGGTGTAATCGAAACAACGACGACAGCGATATCTAACGGCACATTATAAAGTTAATATTATATATATACCTTCAAAAGTTGACACGGGTAATTTTATATGTGTGTTAGAGACGTAAATAAATCAATATGAAAAACCCAAATAAACGAAAAAGTGTTACTTTAGTATTTGATGAGGATAAAAGACGGTAAATATACGCTCAATTAAATAAAAATTTGTTAAAGATTCAAGTCATAATTATATATATCTATTTTGGGGTTAATTATATTTTGAAATAATTTTAGACAATTTTTGGGAGGTTTCCATAAACGAAAAGTACAACGACAAAAAAAAGCTAAAGAAGAATTACTAAAGCAATTGAAAGAAGAAAAAAAGAGGATAAAACAAGATGTAGGTTTTTCTTTTAATTATATATTATTCATCTGCACATGAAGAACGTTTTACTTATGAATTGAAAATTAATAAATATATATAAATATAATTTTTAGGCACGTGAACGTTATAAAAAATTATTATCAAATCGTGATGTACCAGAACTTGAGAAATTGCTGTCAGAACGAGAATTTGAAACAGAAAATCATACAGTTAGTATCTTAGAAATGGATATCGATTCATTATACGAAAAGAATAAATGTATTGGAATCAACAAAGCAGTTGACTATAACGAAGAATCTGAAAAAGAAGAAGCTAAAGAAACTGAAGAAAAATCCACAGCAAAAACTTCTGTACGAGGAATAGAAAGTAAAAGTATTGAATCGGCAAAGGATTTAAAACGAGCTATTAAATACGCTGCATTAAAAGAAGTAAAGAAAAGTAAAGTGTTTCAACAAAAAAATAGATTAGAACACAACAAAAATAGAAAGCTAAACATTAGGAAAAAGAAAAAACAAGAGAAAAAATTGAAAAAATGTGATGGAAAATTTAAGAGGAAAGGAAAACGCTAATATCTATTACGCTGTTATGTACTTTCATGTAATTTTGTATAAAAATTGTTTTTAATTATAGGAAAAAAATATTTTTCATGCATTAAACAAATTACATAAAAATACTTTAGATCTCTTTCTACTTTATTTTATTTTGGCAGAAGGGCAGATATCTTTGTTAAGACAGTCTTTGCATTTAGGAAAGCGAGGTAAACAAATCTCTTGACCAAATCCAACGAGAAGATGATTTATTTCATTCCAAAATTCTTTAGGCAACCACTCTTCTACTTCTCTCCTAGTATCTTCTGGTGTTTTAGTTGGTTTTTTTACCCAATTAAGTCTATTACAGATACGATGTACATGCGTATCTACACCAATACCACTTACTTCGCCCCACGCTATTTGCATACAAATGTGTGCCATCTTTGGACCTACCCCGGGTAAATCGCACAACTCTTTTATAGTCTTTGGAATATCGCCATTGTATTTATCCAACAAAATAGTAGAAGTTCTTTTGAGGTAATCAGCTTTTCTCTGAAAAATAATTATATCTTTTATAGAAATAAAATATAATTTCTGAAGAAAATAAATGTAACTATTAAAATACCTTACATTAGCAAATCCGACCGGTTGTATAAGCTTTACAAGAACATCATTAGGTATAGCCATTATACTACTTGGTATACAACCATAAGTAACTAAACGTTTCATAGCTGCATGAGTTATTTGATCTTTAGTTTGACTACTTAACATCAACGCTATTAAACATTGATATCTATAAGTTGAATCATTAGCATCTGGATCTGCACATTTATGACAACCCATTTCATCTACGGGTGCAGTTTTATGTTTTCGCATTTCTTGTATATTTTCTAAAATACGTTTCCAATTGGACGGTTCCCAACCAGATGTATCTTCTGTTTCTTTAATTTTTGTATTCTCTTTTTTATTTATTTTTGTTATAGGAACTTTATCATCGCTTTTAATCTGTGGTTTAACTTCATTCGATTCTTCATATTCTATTTTAATTGGTACATTTTGTTTTTTGGTGATTCTTTTCTTCTTTGGTTTTTCTGATTCATTAGTAGCTTCTGATATACCTTCCTCATCAATTTTATTGTTAATTTCCTTAGATTTATCATTGTTTACATCTTTTATCTTAGATGAATGATCATTTTGTTGACTAAAATAAGGTGAATTTTGAAGCAGTGTTTTAGTATTAATTCGTTGACTAGATCTTAAAGATGTCGACGTCTTCAAAACTGTCAATTTCAACTTTTTACTCATTTTATATAGTATTTTGTGTTATAAATGCATTTATCACGCGCGAACACGTCTTACACCTTACAGTAATCGTGAGCTGTGAGGCGCTAGATGACGCTATCATAACCTTCAAACACGTTTACATATTTCTATTTGTTTTTGAATTCAAAATACATGGTGAATTTAATAACAAAAAACAAATAAAAATGACTCAATCAAAAGAAGTAGCCGAAGAATTGTTCGAATGTTATACAAAAACTGCTGAGAATATAGTTATATACTTTCGTAAGTTTTAATATATTTTATAAGCTATGTTTTAATTAAATGTAATATAGTAATAAATACAGGTTAGAAATTTGCAGAAGATAAAGAAAAGATAATAGCTGATTTGAAAGATGTTGTACAAAAGAACTGTGAAATAGATACTAAATTAAGTATGATTCAAGAGATAAAGGATGAAATATTAGAGAAATATGGTGATAAGAAAATAACGGAAAAAAATATACCTAAAATTATTAAGGTAAATTATTACAATATAGTTTCCTGTAACTGGTGGTTCAAGCAAACAGGAGGTGATTTTACATGAAAAACTAAGTCGAAAACATAGAATAAAATTTGTTCACATAAGGCTTTATTTTTGAGAAAAATAAGTTTGAAAATTTGTTGAGTGTAGTACGCATGCATTTGATTGAATCTTATTTGGTAAGTATACGAGTAGAGCCGATACAAGAAATATCATCGTGTAGAATCACCTTCTTCTCATTTGTACTACCAGTTACAGAACACCTTGTATATATTAAATTCAAAGTATATAACACAGTTCAAAAATTGTTTTACAATACTAGGATTATGAGAAATCTATATCTACAATGAATGTTGATGTATCTACAAATAAAAGATTACTGGAATTTAATAGACAATTGGAAGCATTATTGAACGGTGAGCAAATAATAAAAAACAAAAAGATGACATTACAAAAACATTATTTATAATCTTTCATAATTTTAATGTAAACAGATGCGAACAAAAATCAGAATATTGAGGAAAGTAACAGTGACGAAGAATTACAATTACAAACAGATTCTATGAATGTGATAGATCCTATTTCAAAAATGAGGATAAAAGATCCGATTAAAAATATTGCATGTGGACATACTTATGATCGTCAAAATATTATGGCATTGTTAAAAGTAAATAAAAAAACAAGGTAAGTGCAACAAATTGCATAAGAGACATAATGATAAATGATTTACTAGTTTAGAAATGACAACAAATTTTTGCTTATTTTTTCTACATGTATATACGTTTATATCTTGAATATCGTAAAAATAACCAAATTTTTGTAGGTGTCCCATGGTTGGATGCAAGAATACAAAATACATAGAAATCACAAATCTTCAAACGGATGTTGCAATGAAAGTATTTCTTCAAAGAAATCCTGTTTAATATTGTGACATTAAATGATTTTGTTCAGACATGCTAAAAATGTGATTATTTACTAATGTAAACAAATCACAAAATATTTCTATATATATTTAGATTTATATATATTATATAAATACAATTAGTATACCTACACAGAGATAAAGAAAGAGATATATATTTAATTAAATGTCAAGGTTTTTCTTTTGCAGTGCATATCAAATTTTTGTTTAAATTAACAGATAAAATAATGATAATTTTTAAATCAATTTATTAACAAAACATATATTCCTAAAGGTATTTATTTAATTGAGTAGGCATTCAAATGTTTACTTAAAACAGTGTGTAGGAATGAGTATATATTATAAAACATAAAAAAAGAACAAAAAATTTCAAAAATGTGCTTGATAATACAATTGCATTGCATCCAGACAGTGCTTTAAAAAAATTTTACCAAATTTTTTCTTAAATTATATTATATAAAATCAAGTAATTCTTAATACCTTTAAATAAAGTAGAGAAATGAATTTCTTTTATTTCTTTTAACATATAATTATAATAATTCGATAATACTATATGCTCTTTTATAATATATAAATTACTTAAAAAATAATTTAATACATAAATAACTTTAATAAAAAACGTAAATAAAATAGCTAAATCGGTTATGTCCAATCAGCAGATACACAGTTTCCCTTTGTAGATTTTTACTATTAGAAGTAAACTAAAAGGAAAAGGATAATACATGTATTAATAAGAGAATGTGATGTCATAAAATAAATCCAGACGTTTAGCTCACTTCTCACATGATTAATTAAATTGACTATTTTATTACTTTTTTATTATAAGTTAAAATGTAATGTATTGGTTTATCATTTCATGAAATATCATCTATGCATTCCTCTTTGTACACACTTGTTCTTTATCGATAAGAATTAATGTTAAATAAACTGAAAATAAAAATAAAACTAAATTGATAAAACAAGTATAATCTAACAACACGTATAATGAATACTATACAGTAGTTAAAAAAGAAAAAAAATGTTTTAATAAAATGATTTTTTTCCTTTTTTTATATACATATATTAATAACATTAATAAAAAATGCATGCAAATCTTGTATACATAAATAATTTATAAATTTTATAAACATAAATTAATTACAATATAGTGCCTTTTTAAAGCACTACCTAAGATATGTGAATAAAATTATAATGACTAAAGAAGTGATACATTTTTTTAGATTAAATAATAGAATCATTTTTTAAATTTTAGAGAACTTGAAAAGAAAAATCGTATTATATACAAAATCTTTTTTTTTTAAATTATTCAAATATAGAACTAATAACTAATACAATTTCGAATAATATTTTATGCGCAATACTCAGTAAGAATAAAAAATATAAAACTACAAATATAGGAAATATGAAGAGTTAACATAATAAGTACTTCCGTTATTTCTATATCTTGTGCCTTGCATCAAAACATTTTAAATAAATATTGCGTGCTTAACTCGTTATTGCACTATGAATTAAAAAACATAAAAAAATAACTTATCGTTTAAAAGTCAATTGTGCTATTTATTATTAACAAACAATCAAATATATTAAAATATTGTCTTTCACATTTTCTTTTTTTTTCTCAAATAATAATAATATATATATATATATATATATATAATAATGTGAATTATTTGACTCTTAGAAGCCTATACGTTTTCTTATGTATTTCTAACGTCTGGATTCAATGCAAGTAAGAAATAATTAATAGTAATGGACGGAGTAGAGGAATGTGTAGGCAATAGCAAAAAAATATGTATATATACTAGATATTATGAAAGATTCTAAAAATGAGATCTCATATCATTACTTGTACGACTTGTATATTGATATAGACTCGTATAACTGAAAGCACTAGACTGTGAAAATAGATAGTAGTATAATCAACAAATATTGAATATGAACTTATAAATTAATGTTATTTATACAATGATTTTCATCATTGCAGATAAACTAATGGAGAGTTAAAAACAAGATATTTTTTCTTTCGTTTTTTCTCTTACGAGAAAATATAAGCAATTAATTTCTGATAAGTATTATCAGATTTGTAAAAGTAAAGCAGTGTTCACTTCAGGTCACTCTATTGCATTCAGTGTGGTGAATGAATGTACTCAACCTGGAATCTGGTTAGCAGCACTATTAGGGTCAGCAACAAGCGTTGTAGATGTATTAGAATCCAGCATTAAAGTAAGGGTTTCTTCTTCTTGATCAGAAAGTGGTGCTACTAGCGTCTCATGTATATTAGCTTCCTTTAATTTCAGCTGACTCGGCAACTCCGTAAGTACTGGCCCGTACTGCGAAGTGGAACCCACCAGCAAGTCAGTCGATGGATTCAAACCGCCCAACATCTTTCCTCATAGCAACGCGTAATTAAGATAAGAAAACGAACATACGTAACATAAAAAGATGGTGCCCGGTGACAAAAAAAAGAAACAAAAAAGAAGAAGAAGAAAACTCAAGTAAAAAGAAAGATTTTCATTGTAACAGTTGTTCTTACCTGACCACTTCCTCCAGTAATTCCGCTCCTTGGTGATTTATTACGTTGGAAGAATCGAAGCCATGCCCAAATAACATTCAATAATATTCCAACAAATATCATTCCTGCTCCTAATGCTACGGATCCCTTAGAAGCTCCTTCAACATTTTCCTCCACTTCAACAGTTGCACCAATCGAAGACGAATCCTGCTTTACCTATGATCAATGTTAAAACAATTTTCCATATATATTTGATCACCCATAAATTAAGCGTTTCTTTGAAATGCTGCGAAGGATACTGATCAATAAATCCTGCTATCGTTCGTGTTATCTCCATACTCACCACTGGTATTACCTTATCAGTGGGAGCAATCCTTTATCACGAAGCAGCGAGGAAGGTACTCTGAGGTATGAGAATGTCATTTAAAAGACAGATGAACACGAGAGAGAATGAGAAACAGAGAATGAAAGGAAGTGAATGATAATAATAATAGTAATAATAATAATAATAACAATAACAATAATAATAACAAGAATAATAAGTCTATTCTAAATAAATCTAAACAATAATTAATCACCTCTGTAGTTCGTTGATTAATGTTGTCGGTTGAGACCAGACTCACAAGCATTGTGGTGAGTCCAACGACGAAGAAGGACAATCCAACAGACAATAACGTCCATTCTAGCCATTTTCTTGAATTAATCTTATGCCTCGATGCAATCCTCCAAAAACCACTTCTTATTCCACCAGCACTACCGGTACCGTCACCTCCACTATCATACGTGTATCCTACCGTCGTAGGTTGATAAACAGCACCACTGTCTGGCATTTCTTCTTCTCCTTTTACTTTTTCTTCTTCTTCTTCTTCTTTTCAAAAATGCACGATCACTTCTTACAGCTTTTTTTTAACGTGAAACCACTGACCATTTGAAAGTATCACTCAGACAAGCGATATAAAAAAATACAATCACTACAATCGTAAATCGTCAAAGAAAAATATTCGATAGAGTGGAAATTACTATAAAAATTATCGTGCATCTATGCGATTGCAGCACCATCGTGTATCTTAATCGATCAACTATTATTATTCCCTATTTTTTGCTATCAATTTAATTCGCATATTTCTAATTCACTTCTGTACTATTTATCCTCATGCGTAATATTTAACATTTTTTCGAGTTATAAAGATGACTATTTTATTAACTATAGAATATTTGTCCAATTATATGTATGACAGTAATTCATACGTCAAAATTAATTAATGTTATTACATCTATCGTATGATTTGTTAATGAAGTTGTCATACTTACGTCATTGATATACTTACATCGTACATTGATTGAAATTTAGGAACAATATTTGTATTATAAACGTTAGAAAAATTAATGTTGCATAGTAATCTGAATGTAAATTTGTTGAAATAATCCTTAAAGGACGAAAAAATACCGCAAGCCTTAAAGAGTCTTATAATTGTATTCATCAATTATTTAAAACATATTTTTGTTTTTCCATTTTTATTCTTCGATTTTTGTAATACCATTTATTATTTATTTTCTTCGCGATGTATTATTTAAATTTTGTCATAAGTAGCAATATTTATTTACGATTACAATATTGAACAGTATATCCTGTTTAAGATTATTTAATTCAATTTGAAACATCATGGAAAAGCTGATTTATAATCTCACCCCACTTCTTACATATGTTGTAACCTTTACCCTGTAGAATCAAAGTAACATATACATAACGTATAGTTTATACGCGCGATAGATGCTAAAAAATTTAGTTAGCTAGGTAATTCTGAAAAGGAAGGATGGCACCAGCACTTAGTAAACATACGTTGAAATATGCATTAGCTGGATCTTTGGCAATTAGTAGTTTACTATGGTTGGTAAAAAGAAAAGGAAAAAATCATGTTAAAAACAAGTAAGTAATTGTGTAATAAAATAATAATTTTATCCATTATATTTAATAAGACATATTTCTTTTTATTTACAGGAATGTTAATTGGTCTAACAACAATATACAATATTTCATTAAAGAGGTAATCGTTTGAAAATTATTATTAAAGATAAAAAATAGATACAAATAATTATATTTTTTATTATAAAATTATTTAATTCTATTAGGACAAACGTAAAGGTTCAAAAGCTCAAGTCAATGCAGTATTTTTTCGACAATTATTTAAACTATTGTCCATTGGCATTCCTGGAATAATATCATCCGAAATTTTGTTCCTGCTGCTTATCGGTGGTTCTTTAACTGCCAGATCAATTTGCGATCTTTGGTTGATACAAACAGTTACTCTTATTGAAACGTATGCATCATTTATTTTATTTATTCTTTCCAACTATTTTCTTTTTGCTAATAGATAATTTTGCTTTCCTAGAGCAATTATCACCATGAATTTTCCTTTATTCAAGAAACTTTTATTGAAATTTGTAATTGTAATACCTAGCGTGAGTACTTGAAATTATCGCATAAATTATTAACCATGACTGTTGATATATTTCTTTTCTAACTGCTGGATAACCTTACTTTTTTTTTATTAATTCATTGTATATTTAAATGTAAATTTATTTGTCTAGATAGCAATTGTGAACAATATTTTAAAATACAGTATAGGCGAAGTGAAGTTGAAATTGCGCACAAATCTAACGCATCATTTAACGAATCATTATCTCAAGTAAGTTTTATTTCTATTTTTGAATAGTTATTATAATTGCTAATGAGGCTTATCATAGAAATTCTATTATAATAATCCAAAGGTTATATAATTATTTCAACACATTATAGAATAATTTATTGTAATAAATAAGTCGAGGTCAACACTTTCTGATACTAAATTACCGATTTTTCATGCTAATTTATTCCTACTGTGAGTAATAATATGAACGCTTTAAAAGAACATGTAATTTAATATAAAGTGAAATTTTAGCCAATTGGATAATGAACAATATATTTTATTTTATTTAGAAATGAATAATGTAAATTTAATGCGTTTTTACTACATTTTTTATAAATTATAGGACGCGGTCATTTGATCGCGCGTTATAGGTTTAGTGTTAAAATAATATTACAATTTATAAGTTTTTTCTTTCGAATGAAACTTTAATGTGGATCTTAATTAATATATATTTTTATTTGTTTTCAGGGGCTATACATATTATAAGATGAATAATTTAGACTCTCGCATTACAAATCCAGATCAACTATTAATAACCGATGTAGATAAATTTTGTGAAAGTTTTACAGACTTGTATGGCAATATAATGAAGCCAATGTTCGACATTATTTTATATGCTTTCAGGATGTCCACTACTTTAGGCGGGCAAGTATGTAAATATATTATAATACTTATTTCATATATTTCCATTGTTTCTGCTTTGTGTGAATACATTTAGTGTACTTTTATATTATTGTACACTATATATATTAAATATAATTTAGGAAATATGACTTCATAGAAATATAATATAAAGAAAAATGCTTCTTTATATTCAATATCATACACTTAGAAACCATGCTTTTTGTTCTTTTCAGTTATTTGATATTGTTTCTTTTTTCTGTTTTCCCCTTTTTTCTGTTCCTGTTGTAGACACCATTATTGGTACTTACATATCTAATAATAGCTGGTACTTGTACAACCTACTTGAGAAGACCAATAACACAAATGACTGTGAAAGAACAACAATTGGAAGGTGAATATCGACATATCAATTCACGTTTAATCACCAATTCGGAAGAAATAGCATTTTATCAAGGAAACAATAGAGAAAAATTAATTCTTTTAACTAGTTTTCATAAATTGGTAAGTGGAAAAAAACTTTCTATAGCATCAATATATCAATACATGTATATTTTGTTTCAGGTTTCACATCTTCGTAAATTTTTGGAATATAGATGTTTCATAGGCATATTTGACAATTTTATTGGAAAATGTAAATTTTAATAACTAAGTAAAAAACGTAGATATATTTAATTAAAATGATAGTTGTTAACAATTTATGATTTCTTTTTTTTCAGATCTGGCATTATTGATTGGCTTTACTGCCGTTAGTATACCATTCTTTAAAAAGGATCACCCCATTCTTTCAGGCCCTTCTGAACATCGATTTAAATATTATTATACATATGGAAGAATGTTGGTTAAATTTGCAGAAGCATTGGGCTTACTCATATTATCAAGCAGAGAAATAACGAGATTAGCAGGTTTTACAGCAAGAGTTACAGAAATAAGGGATGTATTAAATGACTTGAACTCTGGAAAATATGTTAGAACAATGATGGCCGACTCGAAGAGTGATCCACATATTTACCCAGGTGCTGGAAAGATCATTGCAAAAGATAACATTATACAATTTGACCGTGTTTCTCTTATAACACCAAATGGAGATATTCTTATCAAAGAATTGTCATTTGAAGTTAAATCCGGCATGAATGTATTAGTCTGTGGTCCAAACGGTTGTGGAAAAAGTTCATTATTCAGAATTCTTGGAGAGGTAAATTATTTCTGATCTTTATTTTGATTTATTTGTATGTTATGTTATATAACTTTATAATTTTAAATAATATATATATTTATATATATATATTTTTGTTTGCTTATACGCAACTAGTTATGGCCTGTTTGGGATGGCGTCATTACAAAACCACCACGTGGAAAATTATTCTATATACCACAGCGTCCCTACATGACGTTAGGTACTCTAAGAGACCAAATTATTTATCCTCACACTAAAGAAGAAATGGCCAGAAGAGGACAAACTAACGACGAAGATTTGTTAAATTATTTACGTATAGTGCAATTAGAATATCTTTTGGAAAGAGAAAATCAAGGAAATTCTGACAATCAAAAATGGGATGCCGTAGCCGATTGGATGGATGTTTTGTCAGGAGGAGAAAAACAACGTATTGCGGTAAGATATTTAACACATTAAGCGCCAAGCCTATTTTGTCGGGCTTTCGTTTACGGTGCATTCTGCTGTCAAGTGGAGGCGATCATTTATGATGCGTGAGCTCTAAACTAAGTAACGAACATTAATAAAGTACATTAATTTTTTTATGAAAATATTATATTCCTTTCCTAAAAACTTTGATTGAACAAAATTTGATGTCGCCTATACGAAATTTTTAATGTAACAATCAGTATGCAAAGACCAGCGCGCGTAATTATATAGCATAAAACTAAATGGCTACAGTCGATCCATAGGAACTGGCATAATGCGCGCTTAACGTGTTAATGAAATATTTTATCGTTAAGTAGATAAACTTAAATATAAGATTTTTCTATTAATTAGTATATAATATTAATTAAATATTTTTTTAGATGGCCCGATTATTTTACCACAAACCACAATTTGCAATATTAGATGAATGCACGAGTGCTGTTAGCATTGATGTTGAGGATTCTATATATTCTTATTGTAAAGATGCAAATATTACTTTATTTACTGTTTCTCATAGAAAATCTCTTTGGAAACATCATGAGGTAACACAAACAATTCTTTATACATTAAAAAAACAATTATTTGTTAATAATAAATATTATCTATTTGATTACAGTACCTTTTACAAATGGATGGTAGGGGAGGATATGAATTTAAAAAGATTGATCTAGATTCAGAAGAGTTTGAATCATAAATATTTAAATTTTTTCTCTAAACAATATTATTTAATGAAATACATGTACATTTAGTGGCAACCATAAGCATGAGTGGTAATGAAAACAAATGAAATAACGAGCAAACGAATACATAGTTTCTTATTAAAATACTAAATTTTCATAGATTTCTTTTAGTTTCTCAAAAGAAATCAATATTTAAGCATAAATAATGAATAGCCATAAATATTATTTCTACGTGAATAAGGTGTATAATCAAAACTATCTCAAAAAGTAGCTTTCATATATTTTTCTATTCGAATTTTCTATTTTTAAATTTTCATTTATAAGTATGTAAATATAATACGAACACTCTCTTCTTCCAGTGTTTTACCAAACATTTATATAAACACATTATTGTATATATAGTTGAAGCTTGTATCGTAATAATACATCGTTGGAAAATGATGTATATATTTGCTCTGTAATTAAGTAAATCTTATTAACTTATATTCTATTATTATAACTATTATTATAACACATAAATCACGTTAATTAATGAATAACAACAAAATTTAACCAAAGAACTATATAAGTGTATATATAAATGTATATACACAATATTATTTCTCTACGAAATATTTGATGCGATCGAACAGCTGTAATTATTTCATGTATATCGCTCCGTTATTAATATTATTAAAAATATACTTTATAAGAACGAAGGAAAGACAAAAAGAGAGAAAGAAAAATAGTGAAAATGATAAAGGAACTCCAATTCATAATGTACTAAGACTGTAACAATTATAAGGTGAAAGGGTAATAATTTCTTAAAAAGAAATTTTCAGAAGAAATAAATAAAAAAGCATAAAAGAATAAAATAATAAATGTATTCATTCATACTATAATTAGTATTACAATTCATGTATAATCATTCCGATAAAAAAAATTGTGGCATCGATAATATAGAATAAAAAAATGGCGCTTAAATTATTTAAATTCGAATCAGCGCCATCTTGCAGTTCGGAAAAGTTCGGTTACGTTCGGCTATTTCACAGGAACTCTTCCAGGGTTTTGGTTGCTGCTCGATGGCAGTTGCGTTTAGTTGTAGACACTTAGGGAAGGAGGGCCAGTGCGTAGTGACAAGAATGAACATGTGAAGTCGTCGAAAAGAGAGAGAGAGAGAGAGGGAGAGAGAGAAAAAGAAAGAAAGAAAAAGATAAGAACAAATAAAAGTGGGTGAGAGGAAGAAGAAAAGATAGAAGGAAGGGGCGGAGGAGGAAGCAAAGGTAGTTTGCAAGCGTCTATCACGTATGTCGTATCATTATTGTACCTACCGGCGACAAAATAAAGAAGAAAATTAATAATGTTTAAATACTGTTGAAATCGTGATATATTCGAAAAGAGAATAAAAAAAAGAAAAAAAATCTCTCTAAGCGTTCGATTATTTATTGGTGATATCGATCGAGAAGTTTAATCATTTTAAAACGCATACATTCCCTAGAACATTTCTCTTAGTTTACCTTTGACAATCATTAGTAAGATATGTTGACCGATTACCTTTGCCGTCGGAGCTCCCCTCAGTGGCGCGTCTCACGATTGGATCAAGAAAAATAAAAGATTTCGACGAATTCTTGGGAAGAAGAAAAAGAAGAAGAAGAAGAAGTAGTAGGGGAGAGAAAGAGAAGAGAAAAGAGAAAGAAACAAAGGTGGAGGAGGAAGAGAAAAACGCTTTAGTGGGATCGATAGATCGAGCGTAGGGGCTACACACTGTGACTAGCGATCGTGGGTGTGGATGTTGGGTACGAGTGTGCTTTCCCAGCCGCGTGTGCCTGCTTTGGTGCGTGCGTGCTTGTATCGTGCGCGAGCGTGTTTGTACATCAAGAGAAGAGAAGAGAAGAAAAGAGGAAGCGACGCGTGAATACGACGACGAGAACGACGACGAGGACGAGAACGAGAACGAAGAAGACGAGGACGGCGACGGCGAGGAAAACGACGACGACGACGACGACGACGACTACCACTATTACTCCTACTCCAACTATTCAAGGTGGAACAAAGCGAGCAATATCAGCTTCAAAAGGAAGAAAAAGGAAGAAAATTATTGAAGATCTTTTTCGAAGAAGGATCTTACGTAGTTGCTGCACGATTCGACAGTATGGAAGGTAGTTCCCAGCCACCGGCATCGTCATCGGATATAATTATGGGAAAGGAGAAGGAGGAAGAATCTAAGATACGTAGTAGAACAACTGTTGTCGAAGAGTCCGCTGCTGTTGCTGCCGCCGCCTTGGTGACCTCCTCTCCTGGTGTCTCGTCCTCCTTCTCTCCCTCTTCAACATCTTCCTCTTCTTCCGTCTCGTCTTCCTCGCCATCCTCGCCATCCTCCGCTTCTTCCTCCTCTACCTCTTCTTCATCCTCCTCTTGTCCCCCTTCTTCTTCCTCCTCTTCCTCCTCCCCCTTTTCCTCCGCCTCCTCAATATCCTCCTGGTTAAATTCACCTGACCCTACCTTACCCAACGAACCGGACTATCATCATCGTCCTCCTGCTGCTGGTCGGCCCTCCAGTCTAAGGTCTAATTCTTCTTCGCCGATCCCTATCACATCCCCGTCCCCGCCAGGGTGTGGCTGCGTCGTGGCTGCAGCCGTCGAATCCGACGAGATCACCATCAGCATCACCCCAACTACTGGTGGACAATTCGATCTTACAGTAGATCGATCCGAAACTATTGAAAATCTTAAGAAAAATATTTCTAAAAGACTCAAGGTCGCTAAAGAACGCATCTGTTTATTACACCTCGAGAGGTGAGTAATACTCGAGGATGATACATGTTATAATCAACTGATTCATTATTTCTCAGAAACTTCCAATTCCTTTCGGATTTGTTCAAAAACGAAAGATTAATCGACACAACGAAGTAGTTTACGCAATAGAATTCATGTAGTTCGAAATAGTTAGTTTGAATTTTCCCGCGTAAAAATGTACTTCGATATTAGAAAATATCGAACGCGATTTCACGATGTGTTTTCTTTTTCTTTATTTATTTTATTCTTATCTTCTTGACAAAGAGATTATATATATATATATATGTTTAGTTAAAAAAAATAAAGTAGAAAAAAATAGTTGTAGGCCATCGAATGCTATAATATTTACATAAATACGAAATACAAAATACAAAATAACGAAAGATGGAAAGAATAAAAGAAAAAATGCGTGTCATTTCCTGTCTTTCTTTCGTTACAATGAAAGAATTCAGACAAAAAAAAATAGTCTCTCATATTAATTCTTATGAAGAATAACAAAAAAAATTCTTTTCGATCAAAGCAATTAAAACTTAATCTCAAGGAAGATATAAAAATCCTTAGGTATATACAAGATCGTACGAAATCGTAAAAGAAAGACGCTTCATGAAAAGAGGAAAGAAAGAGAAACCGTTGTTGACCCGTACGAGAGAATGCTCGAGCTCGCGGAATAATCGTCATCGGTGTGTGTGTGTATGTGGTGCGCTTTCGGACGTGGTGCGGCCACGATCGAGTAGGAGAAATCTCTTTCTCAAAAGAGGGAGTGAGAGAAAGAGAGAGAAAGAAAGAAAGAAAGAAAGAAATAAATAAATAAAGAGAAAGAGAGACGGGCAAACAGAGCGAGCTCAAGAGACAGGAAGGGCAGAAGGAGGAATGAAAGAAAAGGAGGAAAGAAGATAGATATATAGAGGGAGTACGTGTGCACACGCTTCGTAGGCGTCGTGGGGGCCGTCGCTCTCCATGGATCCTCCTTCACTGTAGCGCGTGTATGCACAAGAAAGAAAGAAAGATAGATACAAAGATACTACTACTGCGCGATATAAAGAAAGGGATGGATAAAAAGAAGGGAAAGAGTTAGGTAAAGATAAGAAATAACTACTAGAAATAGAAAGAGAGAGAGAGAGAGACAGACTGACAGAAGAATAAACTACTACAGATAGATAGAAAGAAAGAGAGAGAGAGAGAGAATCGTGATGGTGTGGTGCAGTAGGTAGAATACCTCGATAAATTGCGTTCTCTAGAGCGAAACGATGACAGCCATCTACGACGTACGTTCTCGCGCGCGCACACACTCGCGGGGAAAGAGGAAGGAAACGAGCATTAAGAGAGAAAAAGACAGCAAGCTCAGTCGCGAGGGCGACCGAGTGGAAGAATTCACGAGAGGGTAGGAGTAAGAGGAATAAAAAAAGCAAGCGGCCGGTCAGAGAACATAGGACAGAGAGCGGTTATTCCCGTACACGGATCCATCGACGATGATGCTGTTTATTTTTTTTATTTTTCTCTCTTTCTCTCTCTTTCTCTACGTATTTTTTTTTGAAGGTTCTCTTCTATACCTCGCGTTTCTCTTTTCCCTTGAATTACACGTTTTCGTCTTCTTCATTTGACATAGTAATGTTAGTGGACGAGAATCATTAATTCTTTAATTAAAAATATGTTAGAATTAAATGTTTATTAACAGTTATAGATAGGAAATAATAATAAAATATTCATCATGTTTTTTTCTTAGATTAGGTTATACATTCAGGTTTTATCGTCAATTAGGGATTGAAAAACTATAGGAATGTCGAGACATTTTTGAATAACAGGTTGCATTCTATTGTCTTCTGTTTGTTTTTCCACACATCGAGCCAATTATTTGTTGAGGTTAAAAAGAAAACACCAATCAGATAAAGCGTTTCTAGAAAACATTTCGAGCAAATGATGGTCCAATAATTGATTAAATTCGTTATCAAATAATATTTAAATTATGTGAAAAATCAAATTTGGCGCGAAACAAAACCCAGAGGGGGATGGTGAATTGAAAATAAACGGAGCAACATCGTACGTGATTTTTTCCGTGCATGTGTGCTCGCGCGCGTTCAGGGTCGCACGAGTTGGTTTTCTCCCTCTCTTTTTATATCTATCTCTCCTTTTCTTTCTCTCTTTGAGACGCGACTGCGTGTACGTATACGCGTGTCTTCCTCCAGCTCCCTCCAAGCCCCTGTTCCAGCCCTTGGTTGCTCACCGTGTGCACGACGACCTCGTGTGCGCATGCGCCTTATGGAGAAACGAGCTTGGACCAACGGGTCTCTCTTCTCTTGGCCTTTCCCGTCTCTTTCGGTTACTTTTTGTCGTCGTTTTCTTCTTCATCTTGTATCCTCTTCGTATTCCTACTCTTCAAAGTGTTACAAAGAAATGAACAAATCTATTTTGCCTTATCTATCGCTTCCAATTCCATGAAATTTTTATTTAGAAATAAGATACTTGATAAGATTCTTGTTAAATATCACTTTTATGATTACAGTGGAGATTATTATGAATAAATATAATGGGGATTGTATATTAAATTGTTTTGAAAATAAAACAGATAGGAAGCGATATTGTTATTATAATTGTTATTGTTATTATTACAAATAAAAGGAAATGAAGGAAGAGAGATAGATCTCATAGATCTATAAAAGTCTAGCCCAAGGTTTAGATTAAATTTATATAGAAATAATGAGTGGTTTTAAATCCATGACCATCGATTGTTTATTTGTACTCTTCGATTAAAGAGCCGATTTATTTATTGTCTATTTGTGATATTATTGTTATTCTTCATTGATATATTAGAACCTGTTATAAGTTGATATCATTATCGTTTTGTATATAGATAAATGCCCTTCGTACTTTGAGCTACCAATACGTTTGATCAAACATGACTTGCTTCTTCAAAATTTTTTTATCATTTAATTAGGAACTTTGAAAGCATGAATATTTTGAATAGTTTTTGATGTGTAAAAATAAGTTTTTTTTAATCATTATATTTTCTTTTATCGATATTATCTTATATTGCGTTTATTTAATGCAAGTTCCTTTCTACTTTTATATCTCTTTAATTAGAATATTGATAAAAAAATTCATGATAATCATTATATAATTCCATTAGAGAATATATATATATATATTCCTTTAAAAATATAAATATATAATTATATAAAGGATATATTAATCGATCTAGGAGGAAAGTTTATTTGTTTATTTATTTTTTAAAACTTTTGCTATAGATTGCTACGCGATGGAACTCTCGAGGAAAATCGTTTGCAAGATGGAAGTAGACTCACATTATTGCCGAGCGTGGAAACAGGATTATTGGTAAGTTTTCTTCGATAAGTCGTGTCGAGATTTACGAGAATTAATGAACCTTCGTTTATAATTTATGTGCATGCAATATTAGAAACAAGATAGGATAATTTGAATTAAAAGAAACGATGATGTAAAGTATTGAATTATTACTTTTTTCTTATAATCGTAACTTATCTATGCAAAATGTCGTTCGAAGAGTATATCGATATTATTTCTACTATTTGATAATGGTGAAAAAGAAAAATAGGGGGATTGGATAAAAGATTTGAGTTAGAAAATTAGTGAGTAGTTTCTTAAAACGTATATGTACAAATCAAGTTACATCGAATATGCGATAGCCGTTAACATGAAAGAGAAGTCCGTTAGGTGTGCCGAGGGATGACTAGCCGAGTCCATCGAGGGTCTCTCTGAGCTTCGATGCGACGAGGTTTCCTTCCTTCTGCAGGTCTTCTTGTTTCTATCATCTGCCGTTTTGTTGTTTCATTTCGATCATCGATTAATTTGATCATCTATTTCTTTTATTTCATCTCATCTTTTCCTTTCTCTATTTCGAGTTGGGTTGTTGTTTTGTTTCATGTGAATGCTGAGAAAAAATATGTGTATGATACAAATATTGACAAGAGAAAAGATATGTAGGTGTAAAAAACAGTTTTAATTATAGAAATGATATATTGTTTTAGGCACAACGACCAGAGCAAAGTGTAATGCAAGCATTGGAGAGTTTGAACGACTCGCAGGTGAACGACTTCTTGTCTGGAAAGGCACCTCTAAATCTGACGATGCGGTTGGGCGATCACATGATGCTGATTCAACTGCAGTTATCGACGGTGAGAGTGCCTTTACCAGGTAGCAATCAAACGAACGGCAGTGGTACTACTAGCTTGACTGTCGGTGGAGGCGGGAGCGGAGGGGGAGGAGGAGGTGGCGGCGGGGGAGGAGGAAACAACATCGGTGGAAATGGGCCGAATCTTTCGACGAATCACGTACCGCCCTCGCTTCAAAGTAGGCGATCAGCGTTGTTGGCTGCACGTTCTACTGCGAGCACATCATCGAAACTTCAACGAGGAAGCGCAGCAGCACCCCGTACGTCCTCCCTCGTAAGCCGTTTGGCATCGGCTTTACATGCTGCGGCGAGCTGCAGCACGAGTTTATCAACAGCGACCAAAACGACAAGTTCAGTTTGTTCCAGTCGCGCTACCACTGCGTTTTCGGCAACCAACTGTTCGAGTATGTGCCAGTCTCGATTCCTCTACCATCATCATCGTTACCACAGTCATCATCACCATCATCATCACCATCATCACCACCATCACCGCTATCATTCGAGGTATAAGACAACTTGTACCTCGTCCTGTACATCTCACCCTTCCTGTTCATCTTTAACATCATCTCCTTCTCCTTCTCCTTTACCCTTACCCTCCGGCGTCATCTCTTCTTCTTCTTCAACCACCTGCTCCTCTACTACTACTGCCGCCGCCGCAGCCGCAGCCGCTGCTGCCGCCTCCGTTGCCACTAACGCTGCCACTTCTGCTGCCACCGCCGCCGCCGCTGCTGCTGCTGCTGCTGCTGCTGCTGCCGCTGCTGCTGCTGCTGCTGCTGCCGCTGCTGCTGTTGCTACCACTACTACTACTACTACCTCATCCTCGACCATTTCCATCGACCATTTGCAACAATCTACCTCCATCAATTACACATGCTCCGAGTCAACATCCTCTTCTTCGTCATCGTACGATGTAACGACGCCAGCAAGCAAAAAGCTTTGTACCGCTCATCACGTCCATCAGTCGTCCCTTGAAACGTCGTTGAGGAGAAACGGAGAGGACGCCATCGGTGACATTACCTCGTCGCAGACTTCTCCTCTAGCCTCATCTCTTATCGACAAAGGTGCAAAGCTCGCCCTAGACACCCGAGCATTAGCCGAGGCATCTCGTAATTTGACGCAGAAACTGAAGCAGCTCTCCTCTGAGGTATTCACCTCGCGGGTCGACCTCGCAGAGGTATACATTATTACCGATGCCAGTTCTCCCTGTTTACATTTATATATATTTATATTTAAATGGTATTATACAAGCTTTATATATCTCTCTATAAATTATTATTATTATCATCATCAAAGTTTCAATTTATCATTAAATTGTAGTCAACTTTATAGCTTTCTCAAACTTTTTATGAAATCTTACTTTAAGAAAGGCATGCTTTTTAAAAGTATAATACTATTAGTATATTTTATTATATTTTTAAATCTTGTAATTATCTTGTAAGAGAAAAAAACAATGAGATTAATAGTTTATTTAATATATGTTATATACAGGAAAATGCGAGACATAGGCAAGGAGCCATGATAGAAAGTATGCATCATCACGGGAAAGGTGTATATTCTGGAACCTTTAGTGGGACTATTAATCCAGCGCTTCAGGATCGACATGGTCGTCCCAAACGAGATATTAGTACTATTATTCATATCTTAAATGATTTATTATGTGCTACACCTGCGGCTACAGCAGGTCACTATAGGCATCATCATAGGCATTCGAATAGTCGTCAACAATGTTCTTCTGGATCTAATGGTGTACCAAATTCAGGAAATGGAACCTCTGTTGGCGTTGGTTGCCATGATTCAAACGGATCAGGACATTCTTTGGGTATGCATAATTTAAAAAATAATTGTCAAAATTTATATACCTATAAATACAGATGTATGTATATATATGTGTGTGTGTGCGTGCGCGCGCGCATGTTTTTATATTTCTGATCTTGTAGAAGAATTGTCGAAAGAAAACGAAGCTACTAAAGGAAAAATGCGACGTTTGCGTTTAGTCATGGAACAACGTCGTACCAAAAGGAAAGCCAGAAGAGAAGCACGTACAGCACCTCATGCTGCACAATGGGCTGCTATGACATCCGATTCTATTTCAAATCATGATACAAGTGCTACAACAGCATCTTCTACTTCGAACAGCTCGAACACAGCAGAATCGCAAAATGAATCGGAACTACAGCCGTGCAGTCCCGAACCAGTCGTTGCTTGATTTTATTAATATTCTTAATTACTATCATTAGTTAATATTATTATTATGAGTCACGCTCATCCTATAATAATATTAGTACTTTTGTTTTAAATGAGTAAATATAACGAGCTTCATTGGGTATAATATCACACTGATTTATTATTGTAGGTGTTGGAGCCCTGGTTGATTGATTGATTAATTAATTAATTAATTAATTGTTGAATCGATGCGTCATGTACATATGTACCTATTAAGTTTCCCTGGCGATTCTAAAAATTGTTATTTGTAAAATATGATTTTCATAAGTAACGAATGAAAAATTGGAAATTGGTTACTTCGTAGACTCGTTAATCGAGATGATTATCTGTTTTTTACTTTTATATATCTATATTTGCATTTTGCTGTTGTCACGCGAAAATTATTCGATTCTTTTTTATTATTATTTTTTTTTTATTTTCTGTTTCTAATTTTGTTTTTTCTTTGTTTGGAAAATATAATATATGTTTATTATGGTTGTTATTATTATTATAATAATTAATATTATTAAATTAATGAAACAGGCGATTAAAATTGAGTATACTCAGGACTCGACTGTAGTTGACAATAATTGTATCTTGCTGATAAGTCAGTGTGAGACCAGTATAAACTCGATCATGTCAATAATAACAGTAGAACGATTGATGTAAAAATGAAAATGTTTGTTAAAGAATTTTATTCGAAAATAGGATGGCACTTCAGATAGAATGTTTTTACATCTATAGAAATAATTAATTCTTCATAGATTTAAAAAGCAAAAAGAAAAAACATAAATAAAAATAAAAAGTATTAGGTGTAGCAATTAATTCGGTTTCTTGATATTAAATCCATTGCATCCAAATCGCCATCTTTTTTTCGTCAATGAATTCAGTAGCTGCTTGAAAGGTGGATGGATTAAAGCCATCGTAAATAATGGAAGATAAGTTGAAGAATAACATTTTATAAATAAATATTTCATAAATAACTATATTAACTTTATAAAATACTTGATAGGAATTAATAACTTTATAAATAAACACTAAATTTGTTTAAAAGGCACCGAATTAATTGCTACATTGAATATATTCACATCATTTTGATCATGGCTATCAGAGTTTTTGTTCCATGATATCTATGTATTATACTTTTACTATTGGCATGCAGAGAAATTTTGTATAGTAGATTTCGTTTAAAATAGAAATCTTGCAAAATTTTTCGTTATAGCGCGAGATCCTTATTAGCAATGCAAAAGGATAACAATATCTCAATAAAAAGAAAAAAATTCAATAGCAAATTTGTATCAAAAGAAAATCTAAACAAATTGTTTTTTCTACATCTAATCGCAATAATATGTACATAGAATGTAAGGGTTGTTTTTATAAATTATTAATTCTGTTTCATTTTTACAAATATGTTTTACTTAATTAGAAAAACAAAAATCAAGATTAAATAATATTATATACGTATGGTTCACTTCAATATTTACAAGAACATTCGTAATATTAACTATTGCAATGTAATGCAAAAAGAGAGTGAGAGAGAGAGAGAGAGAGAGAGAGAGAGAGAGAGAGAGAGAGAGAGAAGAAAGAAAAAAGAAAAGTCGAGTCAGTCCATTTGAGTACTCAAAATGGCGTTAAAGGGTAACGTCATTTTAGTGCTCAGAAAAATTGCCTATTTCTGAGAATTTAGTATGGAAATATGGTAAATGTAAAGCAAAATTACAAAAGATTAGATAAAACAGCATGACTAACAGAACATTGGTTTTTAAAGTACAGGAAGAGATAATAACGGATAACTACGAGCATTGTTGTAGAAAGAAAATCTGACTTTAAAGACTGATTAAATGTCAATCTCATACTTTAACTACTCGTCTCTTGTGAATTCATATTTTATTTTATTATTTTATAAAACTACTATATATAGTTTTATACGCTTTCCCAAAAACGCTTATTTATTTCTGGTAAAATCTAATATTTCTACGATTTAACTTAATTATATAATTTAACGCTGACATATGTAATAAGTCATCTAAATGAATTTTACTTTGCACTTACCATGTTTCCATAAAAAATGCTCAAAAATAAGCTATTTTTCCGAGTGTTAGAATAACGTTACCTCTTAATTAACTATGCATATTGTGGGGTGATTAGATTGAACAATTTCTCTATTATGACAGAGTTAACACGCGTTTATTACTCTTTCTAAGGATCATCAGCACTTTGTATTATTCAACATAAATTGAAATAATACGTGGTCCTATAGTTATAATAATAAGATGATCCTAAATGCATGGCCCTAATGCTATTTTGTTTAATTTGTTTATGTTTGTTAGGTACTAAATAGTATATCATCTAATACTAGTATATTGTGTTAGATTACTTAGAGAAAAAAATTGAAAAAAAAAAAAAATTAAAAAGTTATATTATAATTATTACTATTATATTATCATTACTACATTACTACATTACATTATTACTATTATTACTACTACTACTATTACTACTACTATTACTACACACTACTACTATTACTACCACTACTACTACACTACTACACTACTACTACTACTACACAGTTTTACATAAACTGATTCAATACTGTAACATAAAATTATTCAACTTTATCGAGTACCAAAATAAACGAAATTGCTTGATAAGTTAAAATAATCTTTTAACTATCATGCCTAATTAATTCGATCTTATTTATAGTTTATGATGTTTTTAATTAATCAAATTGTGTAAACAATTTTCTTTTTTTCTAGTTTTGTTTGATTGAAGCAATATTTAGAATGTTTGGAAATTTTATTAACAATAAGTGTTAGTACGAAAAAGAGACATTTGCGTAAATGCAGTGTCGGTAATGTAGAAATTTACATATTGATTTTTTTGCAGAGAGCAGATTATTTATTTTACAAATTAATTAATTTCGAATAAAAATCTCATGGTAATGAATATATGATTTTTTCTTTGTTATTTTTTACAGCCAAATTTGAATCACGTAACATTATATTAACATGTAACATCTAGCGAATGTCATAAAAATTCATTACCAAATAACTAATGTATTTTTTTAAAGAAATAATGAAAAAATTTATAGATTAGAAAAGTAATAAACTACATAATATAAAATTTTAATTTTGTTAAAATTTAGATACTAGATATTTTAAAAACAAATAATAATATACCAAATAATGTGATTCAAGATGCCACGAAACGCGAACTTTGGAGTAGTATATATATGATTAACTAGAGTTAGATAGAATAATTGAAAAATTACACTATTTTGATGTCTAATACCTTAGAACGCAAGATGTTTTTATAGAATCTTCAAGATGACGTCATAGGAAATATGTAATTCATTTATCATTAAATATACTCATTTAATTTAGGTCTTTGGATCATTCTAATATGTCAGATTAAATATTTTGAGACGATGAAGAAATAGATCAAATATCACCTTTTGATATGCTATGGCAGAATTTATAAGCATGTATTTAGTTTCCTTTAAATTTTCCAACTTTTTAAATCTTTCATCATTATATTGAAATAACAGTATATATAATAATAATAATAATAGTAATAATAGTAGTATTGATGAAATATAACAGTTAATAATATATGTATAATTTGAAATGATAATATAAACACATTAACTTACTGATACATATTAAAAAAAGAACAATATAATTTTTTGTTATACAAAAAAAAGGACATTTAATTTTGTTTTGATTAGAGAATAATAGAAAAAATTTTTATCCTAATTTTAATTTCAGCCTTTGTAAGTACGTATAGTATATAGTACGCTATATATCCGTTTTTTGTTTTTAATCATTTTTTTTTCTTTTAATTTAGCTAAAACATTAAAAATATCATACGAGAGAATTTCAGAAGACAATATTTTACATTTATTCAACTTCTAAGTTTTAAAGAGAATTCTTAAGGTAGTATATATGACCATAGATATGATTATGCGTATGCGTATAAATATTCATTTTTAAGTAAGATAGGTTAAACTGAATTGTAAGTAAAATGTTCATATGTACTTTGCAATAACTTTTTAAAAAAGTGATTATTCCACTGTCTTCAAATTTTTCCACATTAAAATCAACCTTGATTATTTCGATCTTACGTTGATGACTCTAATACGTAATTTAATTATGTTGTGGTGGGTCAGGATCGTTAGGGTTCCCTCCCATCTGCCTCCTTATGGTCTCTATCAGTTCCAGATTCTCGCTCTGCATTTCCTGCGCTAATTGTAGACCCCTAAAAAGTTGCAAAGTAATTAGATTTATTTAATAGATTTTTTTTTCTAACTACAAGAATTAGAATTGTTTAACTGACGCTTCAATTAATGCTTCCATGCGCCGTTCTCTATGTTCAACATTTGTTCTTGAGAACAAATTACTTATTATATTTTGCATAGCTGGATCTGACAATATTTGCTGTACCACACTTGTCAGAGCAGGATTATTATACATAGCGCTTAAATCTGGCAATGATCCTGGTGCTCCACCCAATCCCATATTACAAACACATTGTCGAGCCAATTTCTCTTCAGTTATTTGTAAATTATTTCGATGGCTCTCATTATCAGGCTCCATTTCCAAAGCTTTTTGATAGCTTTCTTTGGCTTCTTTGTGCCTCTCCAAACTTGAATATGCCAAACCTAATCGTCCATATGCTTTACTATACATAGGGTCGATAGATAATGCTGTATGACAATCTTTAATAGCTTGATGATGATTTCCAAGCTTGCTGTAGACTGCAGCTCGGTTACAGTAATAAACTGCATTATGCGCATTTAATTCAATTGCCCTAAAAATGATATAAATTTAATAAGCAATTACATGCAATATAGAAATTAAATAATCAATTATATTAATTTATTATACAACATACTTGGTATAATTGTTAATAGCTTCTTCGAGTTTTTCTGCTTTGACCAAAGCATTACCCTCATTCTTATATTTTTCCGCTTCAGCTTTAGCCTCTGGTGAAGCTTCCGGTCCAAGATCTGGCTTAGCATCTTCAACAGCAGCTTTGTAAGCTTCGTACAAGTTAAATTTAGCAGGTGTATCGCTTGCTTGTACGCTGTAGGCTGTTTCTAAACATTGAATCGCTACTTCAAGACTCTCACGGGAATCTGCTGTAATATTCCCATCCTCCAATTGATGGGTCAGAAACTGAACTATTGCAGCAACTAGTCCTTTGACAGCCATTGCGTGTCAAAGAAATGTGTTGATCTAAAAAAAGAAAAAAGATATTGAAAATTTGAAGATTATTATCATAGATATGTATATATATATAACAATTATTAAATATTGCAATTAATTAATATATATGATATAATGAAATTAATTAAATATAGTATAGTTAATCAAAGTCTATCTTTTTATGCGAATTTATTGTCGCGCAACATTGACTAAAAATAATGAAGGAATTTTAATTAAATAAGAATCGGCATAGTAATGTATGTGTGTGTGTTATTATAATTAAGTCAATTATAATAAATATCTTATAACGTTAGTGAAACCTTTTCTTTTTATTAAATAACACTCTCAGACGAAAATAATACAATATGTTTTTTGTCTAGATAATCACATTACGTAGAGGACTCTAATTAATAAGAAAAAAATTAATATGGAAAACCGAAAGAAATAGAAAGAAAAAAATATCTGGAGGGGGTAGTAGTGATGGTAAAGGATAGAAAGAGATGAAAAGAGAGACACGTATACACCGATCTATAACTTGGGACTATTATTTGAGACGCAGTAGTTACTTTTAAAAAAGATGTTTTAATCTTCTAGATAAATGTTTCATTAATAACCCGTATAAATATAATCTAAGATACCTCCGTTTAGTATTTAAATACAAATACAAATACAGTAGTACCTTTCAGTGTCAGTGTCTTAAAATTTTGTGATGTCTCTGCTAGTTCTGCTTCTACTGGCTAACTTAACCTTTTCGTCATAAAGTACCAGAGAGCGGTGGAGGGGGGAGGGGTTGATCATTTATAATTCTTACCAATTCTCTATTTGGTAAATTTATTTTAAGAAATTATACAAAGAATTGTATAATGAATTAATGAAAATCTGATTTGTTTCACAAATTTCTTATTTGTTCGTCAGAAACTAGAATAAAATAGTATATTTCTATTGGTTTAATTTATTGAACCAATCGGTACGTGCGATAAAAACCAATCAATGTTCAGAACTAAGGACCAATCGGTGTTCGTTGTAAGGACAATCAGTTAAAATCAACACTTCCTGTTTATTCCCTATTTCGTATTTGCCATGTTTGTACTCTACAGATTGATATATTAGATGCAAACATAAGTTCCAGCCTTAATAATTAAAACGATCGTATTAAATATTGGAATAAAAATATTTCCCCGCTAGTTGTGGGGATTATATAATATCAACCTAGGAGATTATATTACCGGACTAAAAGTTTAACATAACTTCAAAATATTCATCACGAATACAGTAAACAAAATTAGTTGCAATAAGGCGCATATTATGCATTGTATGCTTTTTCTAATTTTTACTTTTTCCAATTGCTTTAACATCATATAGTGGTCAATAGCCACTTTAAAACATTCGAAGAAGTCGAAAACTGCATTACCTACTTTATCGACTCAAAACCGCCATTATTTTACCGCCAGGAAATTCACTATCTGCCCGAGAAGTGGGAGAGGTGTATAGAAGCAAATTAAGATAACTTTTTCAATCTTTTACGGATTATTATGGATCGAATGTTTGTTTCTAGGAAGCTTAGATTCTTAATTTATTTGTATACTTAATAATATTAACCGGTATGGATGTGTTGTTCATATTTATATTAAAGATTTTATAATATATAGCATTAATAACACGTAGTTAAAATTAATTAACAAAGAAGTAAATATATTTTATGCAAATAGGATTAAATTATTTGTAAGAAATAGGATTTTTACAATTTTTCTTTATTTCTATTTTGTTTTTTAAATATTATTATATATATTACCAAGATCCAAGTAAATTAGATCATTAAATCAAATTTCTACGAATTAGTATTTTTATTCTATATCTATTATATATTGTATAATAATATTAGCAAATTTATCAAAAAAGAGAAGAAAGAATTTGCCTGCGTGAATGAATAGCAAATATTCGAATTTGAAGAATAATTAAAGTATTACCATATTTTATTTTCGTAATACTTTTTTCGTGATAGTAATGCAGGTCATTCCAATGATAACCGTAGTAATATCTTTAAATGTCTAATTATACAACTTCGTAAAATATTCATAATGAGTTATAAATTATCAGTATATTTTGACAAATCATCATGATAGTCATGAAATATTAATCAATAAAAATACAATTAAAAAATCCAGTATGTCTATACATAATAAATAGTTTGTCCAAAATATTATTTTAAATCATTCATCTTTTTCATTTAAAGTGTTAATGCTTGTTCTATGTTCACGTAATGTACAAAAAATACGTATCTTTTTGTTTATCAAAATGTGTGACTCAATCAGATGACTAATACTTACAAATTTTCAGAGCTTTTATATTTTTTTAATTACATTTCGTATAATATTATATTATATATATAAGTCTAATAGTCGTTGTTATATCATTACGATTATGTATAATTATCGGCCTGTACATAGAAACTATATTTTGTAATGTATGCGCATATAATAATATTTGAACTATTTAATCCTTTTCGATATGCAACGATTATTTACGTAAATTTTAGAAAAAGAAAAAAAAGAAAAGGAAAATAAAGACAAAAAATAGAGGGAAAGAAATTAGGTATATGATAAGGTAGCATAATAAATACTAGTGTTTGGTGACGAAGTAGTTCAATGAATATTCGAATAGCCAAGGTAAAATATTATTTTTTCCTTTTTTGTTTCTACATTTGAACGATTTTTTACGTTTAAAGTAGTAGTATTTACGTAGTACTGTGACATTTCTTTGAAATAGACTAGCGCAGTTTGAGGATAAAGTTCTTAATATAAGAGCTCAAACGCAAAAAATTCGCAAATATCTTTGGAACGGCCCTCCGCAAACTTATGTAATACTTTAATACTAATACGTATAATATACTTTAGAATAGAAATAATTTATCTTATATCTTACCAGTGTGCAAAGGAGTGAAAGAATTATTGAAGGATAAAATTTTGTGGTAAAATGATGAAAATTTCAAAATCATTATTATTTTGCTTGGTTGTCTGCTGCGGACTCTATGGTTTATCCGATGGAGCTACACTCCCATCGGTATTTAACGATACTGTTACAGGTAGAGAGATTTAATTATCTTTTTTTTATATTTATCATTTATATCTATTACTATTTTTTCTTGCATACGGCTACTCTCTTTCCTAATCTTTTTTCCGAAACAAAATTCATTCGGTATCTCTCACTGTCTTACCTATTTAAATACTTAATTTTTTTCTTCCTAACATCCTAAAAAAACAGATTAAACACGAAAAAAGAATAGTTAAACAAGATGGACTTTGAGTTTAGCACAAGTGCTTTTTTGAAAATCAAGTAAAAAGGTTTGATATCTAAAGAAAAATCGCGAAGAATTGGAATGAGCTTTAACAAAAGATTTTTTCAAGCCAAAATGAGGCTCCAAACAACGACAAAAATATCACAATGAGCAATAATAACAGCACCTAAGTTAACTATTTTCTTTATACGATATTAAAATCAATTTACTGGATTGTTAAAATGATTGTACATTTAAACGAACAACTTCCGCCATCGGTTTTTAATGTCTTAACGTTGATTCTAAAATCACTGACAGGATTATTGTCCAAGATTTTATATTCCGGGTCATTATTGTTTAATCAAATTGTTAATTGCGTTGAGTATCCTCTGAAAGGGTTATTTGATAATGTAGAAAACGCTGTGAACGATTCCAAACCTATTTATTCTATGATATCATCATTATCATTATCACCACGACCACCACCATTATCAACATTTTCATCATCTTCATTTCTTTTTCCGAATTTTCATTAACGTTAAAACGAAGAATTAATTTAAATATCTTTATCGTTATCAAATATTTTTAATATGTCTACAGAAGTAGGATCTACTACCTGGACTTTATTATCGAAGGTCGATGACATTCTCAATTGTAACTCATCGGATTCAAATTATCTACCATCTCCTTCAGAAATTGCAGCTCATCCTATAAAATCTTTATCAAATTGTATTTGTTATACTCTCAAAACGATCCGTAATGGAGGCAAGGCTGCAACTGATGTATTTAATCATCCCCTTGAAACTGTTTTACCACCGATAATGGCGGTATTGAAAAATTTTTCTGACAGTAATATCGTTCCAGACCCATTGAATTCTTTGCTTCATACTATTATAAGTCTATACGATATCAATCGTTTACTTATGAGCGCTCTATAAAATCTTATTGTTAATTAATATTTCTCTTTCTTTTTTTCTTTATTTATATATATTTATATATATATATATTTTTTTTTTGTTATTCTATAAAATTATAAGGAAAATATGTTTGTATGTAAAAATTTGATCTTGAGAGAGAGAGAGAAAGAGAGAGAAATATTTAACACGATTATTGTTTTATGTACATCTTTCTTTCGTTTGCTGTTATAAATAAATCTTTGAGCAACGTTTAATGCACAGGCGTATATAAATTTTGTACTTTCTTTTAATGTTCGATTACTATTATTAATTACACGTAATGTCAATTTTAATGTTAACAATATTTAATTATGATATTTCTTTTTCATATCGAAAAAGAAAGTTACACATAATTGAGAAAAATTACGAAAGAATTACGTAGAAAATAAATTTGAAATGGTAACTGATAAATAATGCGGGTTGAAAGTATGTATTCGAAGTATTGTCGTAATATGAGAAATCTTCGAAAGTAAATAATACCTAAATAATATTTTTAAAAATATCTGTCTATTACAATACAGGAAGAAGACATGATTGATTTAAAAGACAGTCATCATAATTCTATTAAGATTTTTGGATGAACTATTATCATTGATTTTACTTTGAATCGTATACTTTTGTACAATCTCTATTAATGAAACTTTCTATACGAGTAACCATCCGATTTGAGTTTAAACTATTATGGAAAAGGTTGTTACGGTGAAAACATTATTAAAGGATTATGTAAGGTAGATCCTTTAGTCGGTAAACTCATCGAATTAGTTTCGAAAGCATCAGAAAATTGATATATCTACGTATAATATAATTTCATTTTTTTTTAAATTATTCAACAAAATGTTTTAGTCTACCAAATTTCTTTTTATCATAGAAAACAAAAATATTAACTATAATATATAAAAATATTTCTAATATATATATATATATATATGTAAAATATAAATTATGAAAAAAATTATATTGAGATATATTGTATATGGACTATTAATAAATGTAATATGAAAATGTATATTATATCGTTTGTAATATTCCAAAGTAAATGATATAAAATTTATCAATATTTATGTATTTTAATGGTAACAAAAAATAAAAAGAGGAATGGTATGGAATTAGAGTAACTTGTTGGGAAGTTATTCTCACGGTATCTGTCAAACTAGGAGATATGACAATGAAAGTACTCGTAATCGATTGACTTCATGTAAATTAGTTTTCGATCCAGTCATCATTTATACGATATCATTGATCCGTATAAAGGGGGTAGAGACGAAGTGCAGACTGACGGGTAGACACGGACGGGCCCGACAGGAAATTGCATCTGAATCGATTTTGACTAGCCTTTCGAAAATAAACGGGACCATCTCGAAATTTCTATCTTTTATTTGACGATTTTTAATTATTGTACAAACATATAAAGAAATTAAAAAGAAGAAGAAGAAAAAAAAAAGAACAAACTCCTGGGACTCGATTCATATATATATTAAAATTTCTTTTTATTTATATTATTAATTATTATAATATAATATTAGTATAAAAATTACTATAAGTAATTACTATATGTAATAAACAATCAATATCTTAATTAATCCAAATTTATATTAACAAACAACATGTTATATATTTTAAAAAATTTAAATAAATAAATCTTATAATCATTATTTCTTAAAAATGAATTTTTTTATGTTTTACGTGGCTTTGACGTATAGGCCTTGATAATAAACGTATGTACGTAGATATAATAGATACATATGCATTGTACATAATAACGTTACCATTGCTGTTGCATAAGACGAAGGACATCACGCCGGATGCGTATATTCGTAGACGAGTAAGCCGTGTATGCGTATTTTACAAAATAAACGATTTTGCAATAATTCTCTACACGTTTAAATCTTCTTCTTCATATCATAGATAATATCGATTTTACACGTGCTACGATCACGTTTTACTCATTGCCAGTTCCGTTTCCTCTATTTCGAATGTCTACATCAGGATGAGAGAGAAACTTTTCTTTTTATGTAGGAATTGCTTTGAAATACTTAAGTAACTAGAACTCAAGAAGCATAATGCGTAAAGTATAATACAATCGTACTATTATTATTTAATGCCGTTAAAGTAAATACCGTGTTAATAGAAAATTATAGATTCTCTTTTTTTTTTTTTATTAATTACTATAATAATATACATATTTTATTTATTATTTCTCAAAATAATATGTTAGAGATATAGCAAATTAATTAATATTAAACAAATTTTTATATTTATTTACAAAGTAATCGCGCGCGTACACATATGTTATTCTTCGAAATAGTCTCTCTTTCTCTATATCTTTTTACGATGCTTTTTATTCATCCTTCAGACAAACGATGAATTTTTTTACGAATAATGAATAGCAGTTTTGATGCAATGAATTTAATATCAAGACATCGAATTAATTACTACACATATTATAAGTAATCTAATATAATATATTAATATTATATGTGTGTGATATAATAATTAGTATCTAATATAAACTATGTATATAATATTTAATTATTATAGAAAAATAATCCAAAAGGGTGTTATTTTATAAATAAAATTGAAATTTAGTTATATTTAAATTGAAAGGTTAATTTGGTATTAGATAATGCTAATAATTTGTTAGATAATTAAGTGTATATCGTTGAGAGATTTCAAACAACGTCGATGACTCATATGCTTAGTTATGCATATGCATAAGTAAGTACTTACTATTAGATATATCACATACATACATATACATATGTATATACAATAAATAAGGACAGGAATGACCCGTATAACAAATATCGGAATTCACTTTCCTTAGTTTACACATCAGTTGCATATTTCATAAATACTTATACTATTAAGATTCTTCTTCTTTTTTGTGTTTGACAAATCGTTTGTATTCCTAATGGAGAATATACCTATATTTTTAAAGGCTATTACGTAAGCAGTGATAACGATAGACGACCACTCGAGCACGTAAATGAACCTGCGGCCTCGATTCGGTAAGCCTTTCTACAGATGGAAACACACATTGTTACTCTAGTATTTATGGAACACATACTTTGTCTTTTTTTTTTTTTTTTTCTGTTGACACCATTTTTTAAATGATTATCTTCATGGATAACCAAAATTGCAGCTGATAAAACAAATATGTAAATAATATGATTGTGACATTACATTTGAGCTAATGATTATAACGAAGTGATATATATTCATATTTTATTATAATGCTAATACAATGCTAATGAAATTTCAAGTGAAATTTATTTTATTTTTTCTTTTTTTCATGTAATTTAATAATAACTCTTATATAAATTTTCTAATTTAATGTATATGTCAGAAAGAACGCGATACTGATTTTTCAGTGTTTCAAAAAGTTTTATATTTCAATAAAATTATTTTTATCATGTCGCGCGTGTAAGCTAGATAATTGTATGAACTATGTTGTAATGGTTTTACCAAATATTTCACTTCTCGAAAATATTTTTTCGTATATTTAAAATAAGAATAAAAAAAAAGTAATTGAAACAAATAGAAAAAAATGTTCGTAATTAATTTAATAATCGACCCGCGTATAGAATTATTTTAAACATATATAAATTATATTTGAATTATTTCACATATATCTATATATATGTGACAAAAAAGAATATTTGATTAATTATATTTTGTATGTACCAATAATTATGACAATCGAGTATAATTGTTATAGTTAAAATATTAATATTTTACGATTTAATTTATATTAAAATTACTCGTATATTACAAACGTAAATCATAAAGTCATTAATTTTGTTTCGATTATCTGACTTACATTAGTTCCACTGTCATAATTACCGACACATGAATATATATATATATATGTGTATAACGATACGATATAGCAAAAAAAAGAAAGAAAAAAGAAAAAAGACAGTAGGTACGTATTATTAAAAAAGGGGTGACTAATTGCACGATTGCAGATGAGGTAAGAGGGGTGAAGAGGGAGAAGCCTATCGCGATCGTGTTCGTGGACCACCGAGCGCGTCCTGCTCGTCTTCGTAGGTACACCTTTTTTTTTTTTTTTCTCTACGACAATGCACCTCGATATATAGTTTTTACCCACATCCCGTCAGGTAGGAGTCAGTCGTGGTACGAACGCGAGAACGGAATTGTCATTCATATTTTTGTTCGTCGTTAGACGAACAACGTGTTCTTCCCCATTATTCCTTTTTTTTTTTCTTTTTTAAATTATTCTATTATAAGTATAGGGAAATTATTTATATTTCAAAGAAATATTAATTAAAAAAGAGAAGAAGAAGAAGAAGAGGAAGAGGAAGAGGAAGAATAAGAATACGAAGAAGAAGAAGAATAAGGAAAATTTGTGAACGACGGGAATGGGGATGAAAAAATATCAACTGTTCGTAGAAGACGGTGTTAATGATTGGTTTCGAAGGATATTAATTACAAGTAGGATATAAGCACCGTGAATCAATAAAATTATGTAACGACGAAATATTTGTTCGCGCATGAAGAAACGAAGGAAGAACTAATAATAAGGTGTTCGTTTGTTTGATAATAGATATTACAAATTGATTGATAATACTTTAGGATATAAACAAGAAAAAGAAGAAGAGTTTAGTTAAAAGGATGACTGGACGTTCGCGATCTTTGATATTTCTTCTATTCCTCGTCGTCGTCGTCATCTTGTCGATCATTTGTACAGGTGTGTTGTATTTCTATCTTTTATCTTGTTTTTTTGCTTTTTTTCTTTGTATCTTTTTTTTAAACCACGTTTACGTTACGTCATTAATGTATTCCCGATGTTAAACTAGGTATGCAATGCTCGAAGGAATTCACATTCATCCGATCCTGTATTTTTACTTCTTTTCCTTCTCATTTATATTTATTTTATTTAATTTTTGTTTCTTTTTTCGTTTTCTTTTTTAGGATTATGCCAAAGTTGTCAAGACACAGCATGGGAGAAAGTTGATGGAGCTAGGCCTGAATATACCATTTCTAAAGTTGCCCTGTTCAGTGGTGAAAATGCCCATGGCATTGTTATACCTTGTTTTGAAAGGTATATATTAATAAAATATAATTATTTAATATTTAATATATATATTTAAATATTATAATTCTTGTTTTAATTATTTATATATTAATTACTTTTATTTTTAATTCTCTCAGGTGTAAAAGAATCAATTGCACTGCCTTCGTGATCGATATCGATCGAAGTCTCTGTTACAGCGTCGAAGTTCAAGGCGACGAATTTGTTCCAGAGTCGAATGCTATATTTTATCAAGAAATTTGTATTAAAGGTATCGAGGATAGATTTTCTTTTCTTTTCTTTTTATATTATTCCTATTCAATGTTCTCTCGAATTATTTATTCGAATCTTATCTTTTTTTTGTTAGTACCTAAAATTTGTAAAGAAAAAAAACTTTGGCAAGTGGAAAGAACATTGGGCGCCGTTTTACTCGATGTTGCTTCCGTTTGGTTACCACAACTTATGCGAAGAAGCCGATGTTATAAAATGTGTATCGATGCAGGTAAATTTAAATTAATGTTATTAATATCTTTTTAAAAAATATATAAAGTAAACAACAAAAATAATGTTGACTTGATGTTGTTGTTGTCATTTACAGAATGAAATTTATTAAAATATGAACTTATGTTAAACGAATTTTGATTTTCAGGTGGTGCCTGTAAATCAGCCCAATTTCGTGCATCAAAAGCATTATCGATTAATAATACACTTGGAAGATGTGCCCTATCAATGGCTGAAAGGAGTATTAGACCACAGACTTACAGGGCTTCCATGTACAGAGACGAATATTTGCAACATCAGTGTCATGATATATGTAGGTATTTTATAAAAAAAAAAAAGAAAAAAAAGAAATGTATTTAAAAATATCTAATAATATATTCCTTGTTCTAATTATCTAACATAAGGAAAACGAAATTATTGCGAAAATATTATCTATTGTTAAATCTTAAATTATGTTGCAGTAAAAATGGATTATTGTTCCTACGCTGAATTTCCGAACGTAACTCTGCCATATTCAGATCTTGAATTACCTGGTGTTGATAAACAAGAGGTAAATATATTATATTTTTATTAATATTATTTTAATAATAACATTAATATATTTTTTGTTTGTAATTGCACACAGTGCGAAAGCAGATGCGATCTTGGCGAGGATGGTTTCATTTGTAGAAGTTATACAGTAGTATACACGTCAAATCAAAAACCAATTTGTCGATTACACTCAGAAGATACACTGAGTCTTGGTACCAGTTCACTTGAAAGCACACCTAATAGTATTTACAAGGAACGTGAACCTTGTTTAGACGGTGAGTTATTTTATTTACGAAAAGCAAAACTTTGGGATTTGATTCAATTAAAAAATTATAAAATACTATGTTTTCAGTTAAAGTCAAATGCAGCGACATGATGTTAACAGTAACTTTGACTACGTTGGAACCCTTCGAAGGTAGACTTTACGCCAATGGTTATGGAAATGATTGTGGTATTCAAGGGACTGGCCGAAACGTAACAATATTAACACTGCCTTTACCAAAAACCGAGGAATTAGATATGTCCAAAATTCCATGTGGTTTAACGCCAGCATTTTCAATCGATAATGAAAATCGGTTAGTTCAACAAACCATTTATAATCAATAATTGCATTAAAATTATGTATTATTTTTTAGAACAAGAACGATGATATGGGCTACTATAGTCGTACAGTTCAATCCTATTATTCAAAGACTGGGTGATCAAGCTATTAAAGTTGGATGTACTATAGGTGAACATGATATTCCAAAGCCTAGAAACATATCGGTGCAATCGAGTTTAAGTTTTGCTGATCCCAAGTGAGCACTGTTTCGAGTCCTTATAAAATGTATTACTTTTTTAACTTTTTTCCATATCCGTAATAACGTATTTAGCGCAGGAGTACCACCAATTTCAACAATTGTAATGAACGCATCATCGGAAGTTCCAGTGATAACAATGAGAATTTTAAACGAGGATCATCAGGATGCTGTTGTTACGAAACTGGGAGAAAGGCTGACTCTTAGAATTGAAATAAATCCAGCTGATGGTACGTCTTTGGTTAAGTATCCTATCTTCACATTAATTTAATCGATCATTTAACCATTTATTTAATCTTTATCCCTATGTTCAAAAAATGATAAAATAAATATGCGTGATTTTGTGAATTAGTTAAATGATAGATATGAAAATTAGGAATGAAATCAAATAGAATTTCAAGTATTTTAGGTCCGTATGATATCATGGCTGGACATCTAGTAGCTAGTAGTGCAACAGGACATTGGTCTTATCTTCTACTTAATGAAGTTGGGTGTCCTACGGATCCAACAACATTTCCAGCGTTATCAAAAGATCCTAGTGATAATCGATCACTTATTGCAACTTTTACTGCTTTCAAATTTCCCGAAAGTCAATTGGTTCGATTCAACGTTATTGTTAAATTTTGTCTGGATATATGCGAGCCGGTAAATTAATAATTAAACATCGAATTCAATAGAAAAGTACATATATCATTGGAATGATTATTTTTTATTTTGAAGGCACATTGCGAAGGAAATCGTGTCTCTTACGGAAGAAGGAAACGAAAATCAACAATTGCCACTTCTACGTCGGAGCCTTATATAACTGCTGAGGTAACTGAAATTTTCAGGAACAAAACACCAGATGAACTACCATTACAACTGTCTATCATAGTTCAGAGTCCTGTGATATTTGCGGATCCTCTACTGTCCAGGGAAAATACTACTCCCGATACGATTCTAATAGCTGGCGGACGTAAGTTTAATCCCAATTCTATTAAACAAGTTTGAACTTTTTCTTTTTGTTTCTTTTTTTTTTTTTAAATCCATTTCTAAATTGTTTTTTACTTGTTTTTTTTTTTTTAGACTCCATCGATGGACTACTCTGCGTAGATGCTAGTTTAGTTTTAGGCTTACTCATCTTTTGGCTGATCATTCAAATAATTTTGATAGCATCTTGCCTATTGGCTGTTGGACGATACAGAAGAATGGCAATAAGAGCGGAAGAAGACAGAGCTGATATATTGGCCAGACATCTTTATGGTATCCATGGGGGTAACTTTGAAATATCTCGAAGGGTCAGGTGGGCTGATAGAAATAATTCTTCGATCAGTTGATTTGTTACCGTCGGCTGAGGGAATCACTTTAAATCGACATATCACTCTTTTTTTTTCTATCACTCTCTTTCTTGTTTTTTTCTTTTTTTCTTTTTTATATTAACAACATTGAAAATAATAATAACAATTAAATAAATATTCTAACGAAAGTTTATACTTTGTTACTTGGAAATTATTTTAATTTTTACAAAAAAAGAAGATAATTACAGTGTATACGCAATAAATATAATAAATGTCAATTATTAATAACAATTAATAACGGTGTATGATGAAAATGAAATCATTGTTATAAATTATTTTATCGTTAATAATAATCTAATAGAGAAAAAACAAATGAGAATGTATATTAAATTTGATATTTTGATATTTATTAATATTATCGAAGAAACGTATTAGAAGCAATAAAAGAAATTTTTAATAGAAAAAATTATAAAACATAAATCACTAAACAGTCTTCCATAATAGATTACTTATCTATTTAATAATAAATCACTATTATCAGTTCGTGCCAAAGATCAATTAACCTCTTAGCCCATCAGCACCGCAACGTCCGTATGTATTTGTTTTTATATCTGTAATTAGATAGAAAATCAAATTAACATTAGGAACTGTTAATTATTGTTTAGAACATTTAAATATTTAAAATTAATTTACTTTTGCCGCACAAAACTGCACAATTCAATCTTCCAGGATTTTCATATGTGATGTTATCTGTTCCACATACAGGATTATATTCTGCAGTAACCTGTATTAAAAAATTACATATATATAAAGTAATAAGTAATATTATAAGATAAGATTATTTAAAACAAATATTTACCGCACACGAAGAAATGCATTCTTCATAACCTGGGGGTCCTGGCGTAACAGGTGCAGGTGTTGCTCGTGTCGTTGTTGTAATATCCATAATTCCATTATTTGCAGGACGTTGACTTGTAGTTCTTATAGGACCGTCAAAAGCGAACCCATTAACTTGAGAAAAATCATCTAAATTCAAGTTCATCTGAAATCAAATGTAAATAATTAAGGTAATAATTAAATACAATAGTACGCGTATAAATACAAGTAGCAACTGTCAAGAAACTGTTGGTTCTATCATCCGATCATTCACACATATTACTAGGATTATATAATTTCATAAATATATTTAAACAATTCTTAATTTCTGATCCGTCGAAATAATGTAAAAGTGCAATTTTTATATTTATAACGTTAATATTTAAAATAACATTTATAAACTTACCTGAGGAAAGGCTATGGTGTTTGATGTTACTGCAAGCACGACTACAATAATAACACAAACAAAAAAATAATCGTATTAATATTTAATCTTATTAAATATCAAAGATCAACGGAGAATAAACTATCGTATAAATAAATCAATTGCATTTAAATTCAAATAAAAACGAACACAAAGATTATTACAATTCTTTCTTTTTTTTTTTATAAATTATTATATCTTTGTATTAAAAAAAAAAATTATTATGTTTTAATTAGTAATTACTTAAAATCGTAAAAACGCTGACACGGCTCGTCATGATGAGAGAGAGAGAGAATTGATTATAATAAATTATTATAGATCACAAAAAACTATCTTTATATACGACTCTCAAAACTTCTCAAACAAAGTTTCTCACGGAAGGTCGACGATCGACTGTACGGAAATTTATCGAGACTCTTTACTTATATATGAATCTCTGATACGTTGCACGGGTCGACGACAACTTGAAAAAGAATAAATACGTGTACCCAAGAATTTTCCTCTTTCTCTTTCTTACTCACTCCATTTCTCACAGACACATTATTTTGTAAAAAAAAGAAAAAACTTGGTTTTTCCCTCATTCGTATATTGCACGAGATAAATTTCCCCTTTAATGCGTTGATAACAACACAGCACTTTTGATTATAATAACAATTTTATCTTAACATATTTATGTTAAAAGGTTTTTTTATGTTATTTCTTATGTCCCACTCTGTTTTCCACCTTTGAATTTATTGATAAATTTAAAGGGAAGTATACAGAAAAGTCAGATTTAATTTATGATGGGCCGACGTGATTAAATTCATGTATCGAATTCATGTATCTTTCTCGTATAGTTAGTAAGTCGACCGAACTTGGTATTTCTAAGATTTCAAGGAATCACTACGTTAATGAGAAGTCAGATCCGTAGATGGCGACGACAAGGTCAACCAGAAAATCACGTTTCATGCTTATGAAATGAGGAAGACAAAAAACATATTAAAAAAATTAATTACTAATGGATCATCGTTATTTTCAATACTGTATTTGCGTGAATGCGAAAATTCAATGAAGTCATTGTAATATGTCAATGATTAATATTAATATTATTTATTGAAAATTTTTATGAATATATTTGAATTTTTATTTCCGCAATATGTTCAATGAAATAAATTTTCCAAGTTTCTTCTAAGAAATTTTTTTAGATATACTTAGAATATTAGAATAAGATTCCTTAACAAGAAATTATTAAATAATTATTTTCAAGAATAAGATTGATACGCACGTTTATTTTGATACAGTTATGAATATATAAAATTTGAAATTAAATAAGCATATTTGTTTATTTATTTATTCTTGTTATTAAAAATAATTTTTTACGTTCGTTGATTTGCAACACTATTGAATTTAAATAGAAAAATAAATATATATATTTTTCGAGACAAAATGGCGAATGAGTCGTCACAATTAATTCAAATTAAGTTAGTCTAATCTGGGTCAATTGGGTAGGTCCTCAAATAGTGTAATCCAAGACCCCTAAAGTTTACAGTCTGCCTTTAATTTTTGTAAATGTTTAATTTCAATGAAACAATTATTCATTCTTAATTTCGGGACATTGATTATACCATTAAGAAAATAACCTTGATTAATTTAATTTATTATTATCCTTCACCTTTTTGACATGAAAATAACAAGAATTGTATGCAATAAAACTTGCATATGTTGGACATATATATATATTTTAATAACTTTAAATTAATTATTCATATAATACATTCAAAAGCATACATACAGCAAATATATTTTTATAATATAATACATATACGTACGTAATATATATAGAATATAATATATACATATACGTGCATATTAGTTTGCATTTACGTTCTTTTAAAAATCAACAAAGGTGCAAATTCTATTATGCGATATTTTAAACGCTAATTTTGCACAAATGCATACTTATTTTTTTATTGGCATTCTACATACAAAACACCAAGTCACAACTTATGTTAATTTTTGATATATACATTATATATTTTTATAGTTTTATATTTCAACAGTATGATTGTATTTCTTGTTTTTAAAAGAGAGAAAAAATTGTTATTCTAAAAAAGACAAAAGTTATACCCCATATTACAAATTAACACAAAATGTATTTCACGTATGTATATGCCATTAAATAAAATAATTTACCTGAAAATAATATTAAAAAATATATGGACTTTTTTTATAACATGGACAACGAATAAAATTTAATTTTACATTACAACCAAAAAAATGTTGTATGGCATAAACAATTTAATATAATCTAATAGAATCTCCATTTCTATAGGCAAGACTTACTTTTTATAATAATGAAACTCGTATATTTTATTTTAAACGAGTAGTAGAGTATAAGTCACGTAAGTACGTATATCGTATCTAAAAAGTGTATTTTAGATTAATTATATATGCACTAAACCTTAAATAATTCGATACAGGAGATATTCTTAATATTATATATATTCTGGGAACTCCGGCAGTTAAAAAGGAATGGTAATTTTTGTTTAAAATACAATTAACTATGTTTTGTAAAACAAAAGTAATACAAATCATTAATTTTTCTATATATTGTGACGAGAGAGAAGATTTATAAAGAAAAATATTTTAAAGAAAAAATTCCTAACATTAAAAGTTAGAGATTCGGTATATATTAAATTGATTTTTCTAGACAAAAAGTTCCAAGTGATCTAATTCTTTTTGCTGTTGTTATTTTTTACTATTAATACGTGTTCTATTGAATTTCTTCATCTGGTACAGCACTTAATTATTCGCTAATGTTTTATTTAAGTTTAATTAATCTGAATCTTCTATATATTACATAAATTGACCAGTCTTTTGCTTAGCTAAATCTGAAGCTTTTTTAGCAGCATCTTTAACTTGTTCTGCTTTGTCTTTCAATGAATGTTGCAATCCTTCAGCTAAAATTGATTTACTTGCAGTTGTATCGTCAGGCTGTAAATTATTCGATATTAAAAAATATAAAAGATATGAAAATTGTAGAAATCTAATTATTAATATTCTTGTCCCAACAGTATATTAATATATATGAGTTTCAAAGGGAAATTAAAGACATTTAATAATTATATTTAATATTAGATGTCTTTAATTTCCCTTTGAAACTCATATATATTGTAGAAATCATTTTCTTATATGATATATATTTACTTGAATACTGCTGTAAGAAGTTGATAATTGTGCTGTTTGTGGAAACATACGTCCAAGAACGTCATTGAAACCTAATGACATTTTAATATAATTCTTTTTTAATCTGTCTTGTCCAAATGCTTCAATTGCTTTACTAAATCCAAGTACACAACTCCATATCCATGCCGATCTGTGTACTGTAGTCCATGAAGGGTTTTCATCCGATACTCGATAAACAACTTTCTCAATAACACTCTAAATAATAATACAAAAATTATGTTATATACATTTGAAGAGTAACGAAGATGTATTCATAATATAATATATTTTATTTGCAAGAATTACCATTGCCTTGTTGTAGGTAAAATTTCTCGAATACGTTGTCAATGTCTTTGCTTCTGGATCCAATATACTTTCCTCAACTATTTTAACAGACTTTTTCTTAATCAACATTTCACCCCATTTTGGTACACCGTTTGTTTTTGTCAAAAGACGCTTAGAATATAGCTTGCCTTCCTTAACTTCTCTTGATATAGTATCTTCTGATAAGACATGCGAGCTGATGACACAATTAAAAAATAATATTATTTAAAAAAGCTCATACATGAGAGAGAGAGAGAGAGAGAGAGAGAGAGAGGGAAATATATTCTAGTTTAATTATAATAACAAAATTGATACCTGTGAGGATTGGGATATTTAACCCAAAATCCTTGTACAACTTGCTTCCAATTAAAGTAAAATGTTGTATTGTCTTCGAAATACTTAACCATTATAATGAAAAATGCAACCAATTGAAATATATTTTCAACAACAGTCTTGATTAGGTTTAATAAAATATTTCATTAATAAATGTTCAATGCTTTCTTCAAAGCTTTTTTTAAATAATTAAGTTGTTTTTTATAACCTGAAAGAGAAAATGTAATGTAATATAGTAATATATTTAAAGAAATACAATTTTTATATAAAAAAAAAATATAAGAATAAATATAACTAATTCAATTGTGAATAATATTGTAGTAATATTTACAACAAAAAATATATTATTATATTTATAAAAATGTTTATATATTACATGCATCGGCAAATATTAAATTTTATTATCGATATATTTGCATACTTTAAAATATCGATTTTATAAAAGACATTACGAAAAATTATCCGAGGAAAAGATTACGCGATCTGAGTCACGTACGATAGTTTCAACTTTGTTATTGAAACTAAAGCGAAATAAAAAATGAAATTATACTAATTAAAACAAACTCTGATAAACCTTGTCAAGTATTTTCTTTTTTATAGAAAAATTTTCTATAAATATCGATACACGATAAACAATGTGATCGTCCGATTAAAATTATTCTTAATTGAATACATTTTTTAAACAACAAATGAATTTAATATAAATCAAAACTGATTCATAACGAAAAATTTAAATTATGAAATAACAATAATTTCAAACAAATTTCGTTCTACGTGAATGTATGATTAAAATATCGAATTTGTTATAAATGACAATTACTTCAAATGAAACAGAACAAAAATACAACAGTTGACCTAAATATTTTAATAAGCAGATTGGTAAGATAATGAAAAAAAAAGTAGGTCAAAAGAAAAATCTAGCAATAGAATTATATAATCTAACTCTATAAACTTTAGAAATAATATTTCTTGAAATAAAACGTAACACCAGAACATTAAAAAATAATCTGCAAACGCGTTCGTTGTAATAAAGGTATTGTTTATGTCACTCCAGAAATGTTTTTTATATATGTATAATACACACGTAAACAAATTGATTCACGAAGCCATAAAGAGAGTGAATGTTATTCTCTAATATTACGATTCAGTGTATAATATATGATAAAGATAATTTTATTTAGATGAATAAAACCAATTGTCATAATGAAATAAACAAAATATTACTTAGAAAACTTACTGTGTAAAAGAAAATTTCCGTTAAAATCGATGAACTCGAGTAAATAATCGTAAAACGTTAGTTATTTCATGATAAACCTTCCCTTATAATGCATGACTATACACAGAAGTGCATTTTGTCACTAAAGATAACAGTATAAATGGAAGGGAAACAGTGCAAGTAAAAGTGACACATACCAAGTTCTCTTTCTTTCGTAAGAAAAGGAACATTAGGAAATACTCTCTATGCGCCATCTATGCTTCATAAAAAATTTACATGCTCTGTTTTTGATCTTTTCATTAATTAATTTCAAAGATAATTATTAATGGGGGAAACTATTAATTACTAATATATATTTATATATATAATATATATTACCAGGTTTATTTTAATGATGCAATTTTCTTTTCTTTTTTTGTTTTAATGTTCTAACTTATAAATAATTTTTGTATATTTATCTTTTACTTTTTATATATTTTAATTTATTTTATTAGTTTTATATTTGTAATATTTTTCGCGATATTTGAGAATATGTGTGAATTTAAGTTAATTATTATAATTTATTTTGATTTTTTATTTAATAGAAAAATTTGATCACTATTAGATGGCGTTTCGGTTGCCATGTTGGTATCCCTGCTGCAGGCCGGTATTACCAAATGATTTTTTTATTTCTATGACATTTCTACATTATCTGAATGTATAACCTTCGAATAAAATTTATTACAATAGACAATCTGTTAAATGTGATAAACAAATGTTAAAATTAAGTGATTGCATTCACTTATGTATATATATGTATTTGTAAACAATAATCATTTATTATATAATTTAATTCATCTGTGTAACATAAGGTAATATTAACTATTATTTATTAATAATATACATTACGTTGTACAAAAATTTAATACGTATTTTTCATACTGTTACATGTTATTATATTTGTTTTTTTTTTGATTCAGATGAAACGACACAAATATTAGAAAATGCTTAAGTATTGATTAAGAATGGAGATTATTCAGTCTTTATATACCAACTTAATTGATCAAGATAAGGGTGATGTGTTGAAAGAAGTTAGTATATTTTATTAAATGTAACAAATTAAAATTGTGTATTAAAAGTAACTATTATGTTTACAGTTACTACATGCATGTGTAGATGAAATATGTGGACGTCCTGGACCGTCTTACCACAAGTTCATGAATCGAATGAATTGGAGTAAAGAAGTATACGAAGATGTTTATAAATTAATGATAATGCTTTTACGTAATCCAGCATGTTTATATTTGATGGAAGAGAAGGTATTAAAAATTATTACGAACAACTATTATACTCTAAAATTTATCCCAGTACTCTTAACATATTTGTCTTATGTTAAATAATTATTTCAAGTTTCCATTTGCCTTATCGAACTTAATTTAATTTTTAGATGCCTCCAGAGTATCATGACCTTCCTGAATTAATTCAAAAAGATATTTTAAATTGTTTAAAAGTTAGACAAAAACAACTGACGCATGCCTTATTAATGGAACATTCAAAGCGAAAATTACAAACTTTAGTAGACTTTGATTGGAGATTAAAAGTAATCAAATATTTCATTATATTTTATCTTCTATATGATTATCTAATAAAAGAAGGATATATTGGAATTGTATAATTTACAGCTTGTCATGGGTACGAGTAAAATGGCATCGTTACGAGAACCTCTACTTCAATTAGACTTTATTGTTGAAGAGAAGGGAACAAGACGTATCATTGACGTTGAAATGAACAAGGATGAATTAGATACGTTGATAACTACAATGGAAACAATAATACAATAATGTATTCTCTCGCTCGCGTTTTATACAATAAAATTATTACGTTTGAAAAAAAAAAACAAATAGAAACAAGATAATATATACATATATTTTAGAAAATTCTTTTAAAAGGTTTTCATGTGGCTCAGCACCAGTGTTACAGAAAAAAAAAAAATAAAGAAAAAATATTCAAATATTTATATATAATATACATATATAAAAATAAAAAAGGATGTTGATGAGGGGGGAGGGGATCATAATGAACTATAACATTATAGTACACTTGTTTCACAGTTTATTAGATTATAGATAAATGTAGAATAGTTTAGTTACTATCATAACTGTTGATCGAAGATACCAAAGACTGTAGTTTTGTGGTTTTTGAAGCGCCTCCGGTGTAAAAAGTGTTATTATATTAATATAATTTTATTATTTTAATAGTATTCAAAAACGCAAAGATCTCTCCTCTTTTTCTTTTTCTCTCTCACTCTCTCTCTCTCTTTTTCTCTCTCTCTTTTTCTCTCTCTCTCTCTCGCTCTCGCTCTCTCTCTCTCTCTCTCTCTCTCTCTCTCTCAATCTCTCTTTTTCTCTCTCTCTCTCTCTTTCTCTCTACATTACGAGTATAGTTGACTCGATGTGCCGGAAGACGCCCCAAATTTTCTATTTTAACAATCCATTTTGTTGTTACGCTGAGATACAGATTATTAGTCACATTTAAACAATAAATTTTTCGAAAACGAAAATGTTCTAAAAAGACTCTCTCTCTCTCTCTTTCTCTCGTTGCCGAAATATGTTCCGTTGAGAAAAAACCGACGCAATTTCGTTGTAAATATCATTATGGACAATACTATTTTGATGAAATTCCATACGAATAAGGTTTACTATACAACTTTTAATTTTAACTTTTTGCCACCTCCTCCTCCTCCTCCTCCTCCTC